TCAGCCCCAAACTGCCACTCAGATCCCGTTTCCCTTCTGCACTGGAGAAGGGGTTTCTAAGACCAGATACGGGATAGGAGTTTTTCTTCTTAGACCCCACTGTGGCTACTGGAGATGGGCAATTTCTTTCTAGCACTCCTGGACAGTTCCCACAGTGCCCGTGACTGACCCCGGTACCAGATGCCAGTGCTTAGAATATCAGTGAAAGTGGACAAGGAGGCCTAACAGGTTCACTGTCCCCCTAGGTCTCTGTTCTGCTCTGTTGTGGTGTTTTCTTAAGTCCACATCCCTGCCCCATGGGCTGCTCATAGCTTCCCCCAGCCTCTCGGGTTTCTTGCTGCCAAGTGGCACCATCACGTACCATGTTCCCCGGCACATGGCACTTTCTCTCCTTTACCCCCACCCTCAGGCAAGGGGTCCGGCATGTGCCTGCTTGACATCACCTAGACTCATGCCGTCCCTTCCTCTAGATTCTCACAGAACTAGACACTTGCTGCTTCCTGGAAGCGCCATGGTTTTCTGGACGGTGGCATTTACAGCCTGTCGTGATTACGTTTGTGTCTCTGCATGGTGACTGAATGTCTGTGGAGTAGAAAAGGAGAGCCCAGCAGACCTGTGGGCGAGAGGGACTCAGAACTGAATAGGCATCCGTTCCAGGGGCTGCAGCTATCTTTCAAAGTGGCCGTGAAAGGGCCAAAATGTTCTCTAGGCTACAGAGGAGGTCTGGTTTGGAGTGGGAGGTGAAGGAGTAAGGTCTGGTGTAGGGTGTGAGGGAGGGTTTAGAGTTGGGGACGTACTAGCGTGCCCAAGTGTGGTGTATGCTGCACATCACGTGCAGGTGGGTGTTGGCGTGTTTGGGGGGCATCTGCACACAGGTGTGTGTAAGAGGGGACGTGTCTGTCTGCGTGCGTGTCTCTGCTGCTGCCACAGGGCCCTGTGCCTCGTTGATGTGCAAGGATGTCCCCCACGCCACCCCCACCGCGTGGCACAGAGGAGCTGCTGGGGGTTTGTTCACACTGCAGGACCACCCGTAGAGGGGGCGAGTCTCCGGAAAAATGCCATGTCTTTTCATTCCCTTGAAGAGAGTGGGTGGTCACCTCTAGCTTGCAGCCTGCAGCTCGCCCCCTGCATGCTTCTGTCTCTCTGGGCTGCTCTCCTGGGAAGCTCTGTGTCTGAGAGCTGACTGATCCTGAGTGCTCTTTTCTCCTCTCTCTTCCTTCCTGCAGTCGGTTCTGAATGTGATCAGTGAGCTGCAGGAGCAGATGTGTAGGCTGCAGCTGGACATCCACAGGCAGATTCAAGAGCGCCTCTCACTCAGTAGGGGCTGCCCTGAGGAGGTGGCGGCCAGTGACAGGGCAGCCAAGCCCTCGCCCTGCGGCCAGGACTGTGCCTGTTGGGAGGGGTCACCTGTAGGAACCACACTTAAGTATATCAGAGCATGCGTGTGGGGACATTTCACTGGTGGAGGGGCCGGGGTTTCTCCTAACCACAAATGAGTGCAGTGGCTTGAACATGGCTCTATTGTTAACTTCCGGGCAGAGCTTGGGACACACATTCCCCTCGGGGTGTGAGCTGAGCTCTGCGACACTCACCCTTCCGGAGCAGGGTCTGAGGGGGTGAGGCCAACCCTTGGCCAGGCGGTGGCACTGGCCTTCCTCAGGGCTGGGAATGAGGTGTGTCAGGTGCCCTGAGGGATAGGTCATTCACGCAAAAGACAGCCTCAAGATTCCCCTTCCCAGGTACCATTCAGACACTGATTTTCCTCCTGGGCTAGGAGATTAAATGACATTTTATCTCATGTTATTTTTTTTTTTTTTAAGAAAAAATAGCACCATGAAAGAATCCTTTCAAGTTTATTTTTAAAGAAGTTAATCCCTAGTGAGAAAATAGAACATCAGTTTCCTTTTGCTATGACAATTAGGTCATCATCTGAATTTCTAGGAAAAATTCCCCACCTAATCGCCTTAGAGGGATATCATGACCTCTGGACCCTGTGGGGTATATCTGACTGGTGTTCTTGACTTGGCCCTTCATCCTGGTGGGACCAGGGCCTGTGTGACCTGACTGGACCTGGTGATGGCAGTTGCATAGAGATGAGTCTCTGCCTCTAAGACCCACTATCAAAGAGAATGAGGTGGGGACATTTTCTCCTACATTAAATGACAAGGGGGAAAAATGAGAGTCCAGAGGTAACTGTGGATTTGAATAGGGAAGTGCTGGGTGCGCCCCATGTTGAGTGAGTCAACCCAGAAAGACGTCTAAAAGAGGCTAACATTTGCACCAGTGTTTATAGGTGATGATGGGCAACACAGACAACCTAGAAAGAGGAGGATGTGCCAAAGGTCATCAGAGCCTGGCCATCATTATGCTCTGTGTCCCCGTGGTGGCGGCCTCTCAGGCAGGGCCACAGACATTCTCAGAAAACCATCCTGGGTCGGCTGCAACTCCCACCAGGCCTTAAAATCTAATGCTGCAGGTCAAGGGTGCAATGACCTTAGCTTGGAAGACCATTTTTAAAAAGGGGCATCAACAAATGTTTACCTTGGCTGTAAGGAAACCTTAGTGAATTATCCTACAAAGTTCGGGTGTAAGCAGTAAGCAGTGTAACTTTCTGGCATACTATCTCAGAACACAAAGAGTTCTAGGCCAGTTAAATGATGAATTGAATTTCCTATGTTAATTCATTGGGAACTATGCACACCTACCATGTTCCAGAGGTGAGCAAAACAGACTTGGAGTTAGCCAAACCCCTCATGGAGTTCACACAGGAGGAAACTAGCCATTAGCAATCAGACCAATAAGTATGGCAAATGACGTAGGAGAGATACAGGGTACCACACCAGAGGACGGAAAGGGGACCTGAATATGGTGTAGAGGTCAGGACAGCTTATCTGTGGAGGCCTGAGGAAGGACTGGTGGGAATTCACCTGGCAGACCACTCCAGACAAGAGGGAGAAGTGTGTGTAAGGGCCATAGTAGAAAGGGGAACTAAAAGGTATCCAGTTTGGTTGGAACATCACTGGGGAGAGAGAGTGATCCAAGTGGCAGGCAGGACACTGGGTCAGGCCAGGCAGTGCTGGTGGGGCATATGAGTTTTGAGGAGCAGGGGGAGCACCAGGATCAGATTTGTCCTTTAATTGTATTGTTCCCCTAGATGCCGTGGGGGACAGTGGCTTCAAGAAGGGCAAGACAACAGAGGAGCAACCCCTGGAGAGACTGCCCAGGCTGTTGTCATGAACCACTAGATCAGAGTAGTGGTGGTTGAGTTGGAGAGAAAGGAGAGATCCATTTCCTTGGAGGTAGAATTAACAAGGCTTGGGGATGGATTGCATCTGTGGGAAGAGGAAGATGCTAAGGATGGACCCCAGGTTTCTGGCACAGGGAGGTAGGTGGAGGGAGCTGCCATTGGGTGAGGTTGGAATGTCTAAAAGGGGGAGTTAAGCATTCTACTTGGGCCATGACAGCCGTGAGATCCCTGCCTGGAGAGGTTAGGTTGGGAGTCTGTGGGAATCTGGAGTTCAAAAACTCTGGAAGTGATCACTTTCACACTAATTTTTCTGATAGGAGCCAGCTGGCTGGACCAATTGTCCATTAAAGGAAACTTGGTTTGGGACAGGGGTGCTCAGGGTATCATCTTTGCTGAAGGAGTAGTTTAGGGAGCAAGGGTTCTGTAGTCAGAAGAAACAAACCTGACTTCCACCTCACCATGCGCCAGTTGTTCAACCATCCCTTCCTCATTCAGCAACCTTCAGTGGCTCCCTACTGCCAAAGAATGGCCTCGGAGCTCCTCGTATTTTCATCCAAAGCCCTTCTTCCTTTCTGGCCCCACCCCCAATCGTGCCACCTGTCCTCTGCCCTAGCCCAACAGATGGTCTCCCTTTCTGCCTCCTGTATCTGCCCTCTGCCGGGATGCCTTCTCCTTCCCTCCTTTCTTCAAGCCGACCCCCGCCCCTGGGCCAGAACACTCAGACTGGATCTGCAGTTGGCATTTGGCATTTGTTATCTTAGTGTTTTGTGTCCTGCTGGCTGTCCCTTCCTCTCCGGAGCCTTCCAGGATCACATGCTCCTCTTGGGGTTCCTTGCCTGCCCCCCAGCACAGAGAGGTGCTCCCACCTAGCTTGCTTTCTGCTACTTTGTCTGTAAGAAGCTGCTTCATTTTTGCATCTCTGTTCCTCTTGCTCCCAAGTCCTCTTTGTCCTGCCCTCCCCCCACCCCACATTTGTCCATGATTTGGGCACACCCCACAGAGGACGTGGATGTCAGAAAGGGGCAGCCATTGAGGAACTTAACTGAGGACCATGGGGGAGAAGAAGGGGGAAAATGGTGGGGGAAAGGGAGAGAGGCAAACCATGAGAGACTCTTGAATGCTGAGAAACAAACTGAGGACTGATGGATGTGGGGGGGGAGGGAGGAGATGGGCATGGAGGAGGGCACTTGTGGGGATGAGCACTGGGTGTTATACGGAAACCAATTTCACAATAAACTATTTATAAAAAAGAAAGGAAGGAAGGAAGGGAGGGAGGGAGGGAGGGGCAGGCAGAACAGGTTCTAAGAAAAAAGAAAAAAGAAAAAAAAGGTTTTCTCTTCCTATGCCTGGAACCGCCTGGCTTCTGTTTTCTAATGGCCCCAGAGGAAGGAAGGGAGGGAGGGAGGGAGGGAGGGAGGAAGGAAGGAAGGAAGGAAGGAAGGAAGGAAGGAAGGAAGGAAGGAAGGAAGGAAGGAAGGAAGGGGCAGGCAGAACAGGTTCTAAGAAAAAAGAAAAAAGTAAAAAAAGGTTTTCTCTTCCTATGCCTGGAACCACCTGGCTTCTGTTTTCTAATGGCCCCGGCAACTTTTGCTGAAACGGGACCATGTTTAAAGATTCAAGCTGTAGTGTTGAACGTGACGCAGAAGCCCCCTGCCCCCAGCCTCCCCTGCATGTGCCTAACCAGGGTTGTAGATCCAGAGAACATCATGCTCTGTAACCATCAGAACTTTGTTGTTCTCCCTTATCCCTCTAGGAATTACTGCAAGAGCTCAGGCACCTCAAAATCAAGGTGGAAGAGTTGGAGAATGAACGGAATCAGTATGAATGGAAGCTGAAGGCCACAAAGGTAAAAGGCAGTTCTTACACTTACAGAGAGGTGCTGAGGCCCGGTGGGGAGGGTCTGTGTTCAGGCTCGGGGTTTGAGTTGGAAAAGTACGGATAGACCCTACTGTGTACACACACAACAGTGCACAGATTGTGCAAGTAAACAGCTTTGATCCAGGAAGGCTCTTCTCCTAGGAATAGCCCCGTGGGATCATGTGCTGCTGGAATAACTGAGTCTCCTTCATCTTACCGTGTCCCCGAGCGTCCCTTAGCCGACACGGGACCAGAAAGGCAGGGGCTGTAAGCAAGTGAAAAGTCTTAAGTCAGATGAATGCCAATGTTATACTGGCTGCATCACTTTAAATTTAATGGTCCCTTTTATTTATTTTGTTTTTAATTTTTTAATGTTTATTTTTGAGAGAGAGACAGAGACAGAGACAGAGCATGAGTGGCAGAGAGAGAGGGAGAAACAGAATCTGAAGCAGGCTCCAGGCTCTGAGCTGTCAGCACAGAGCCTGATGCAGGGCTCGAACCCATGAACCGTGAGATCGTGACCTGAGCTGAAGTCCAGTGCTTAACTGACTGAGCCACTCAGGTGCCCCTATCTGCCCCTTTTAATAATCAGTTGGTTTAAATAAGCATGCTTTATTTTTAACATTGAATGCATTCCATATATGTATACTTTGACTGTTGTTTTAACTAAATCATGTTTCTATTGAACTGGGGAGGTAGGCAGTCTGGGCTGGGGAAGGAATAGCCCTGGAGGAGCTTTCCTGGTTGAGGGAGCCTGGGCCAGGTAGCCTCCTGAATGCACACCTGCTATTTCACTAAGGTCTCTGCAGTGCCACCGACAGATGTTACTGGATTTTCACTTTTATTCCTTACTCGAGTTTTAAAAAGTGCTTAAGAGTTTTCTTAACTTCTAGTTTATACTTTTTTTTCTGTAAGTTAACTTTTAATGATTATAAAAACAATACTCATTATAATCTTTAAACCATGAAAAATGGATAACAGTCACTCCTATACCACCCTGGAGCTACCACTATTAATATTTCCTTCTAGGAATTTCTCTTTTGGGGGGAGTCTCGCTTACTCTTTCTCCCAATTTCTAGCATTGATAATTTCTATGCAATTTATGTCATGCTATTAAAACCCCGAACATGATATTGATGTCTGTATAATCCCTTGTATAAAGTGATTTTCTTAACCGTTTTACTGACAGGGAAGCTGAGACACAGGGCGGTTCAGTAACTTTCCCGAGAGCTCACCAAGTCAGCACCAACCCTAGGCAATCCCAGCCCTTTATCTCCCGCTCTGTTTTTATCTAAGTGGACCCTTGTGTGTACTGTGCTGTATCCGTCCAGCAGCAGTGATTTTCTCGAATAGCTCAGAACCTTCTGTCACAGCGCTCCACTGGAGCGAATCCTGTCTTGGGAAAGCCTTTGTAGTTGTACACACCACGTATCATAAAACCAAACAACTCTTTACGTCACCTGATCTCTTTGCCTTGGCACAGAAAGCTTTGAGATACTACAGGTTACTTAGTAACTATTGGGTGTGGGGCGCCTCCTATGTGTCCGAGAGCCTCAAGCCCTTTGCCTACATTTTCTCCTCTGTTCCATAAAATAACCAGTGAGGTCCATTGATTTATTATCCCCATTTCAGTGGCTAGAAAACTGAGGCCCAGGGTGGCCAAGGTGAGATCCAGACCTGGATCTGTGTCATTCCAAAAACCATGGCCTTTTTCTTATAAAATCCTGATTCCCTGCAAGTAAAAGCCTGTACTGTTCTCAAAAGTTCTTTAGTTTTCTGTGTAAAGCTTGTCAGCCCCTGAAGGTGATTCATCTTCCATGGCAGCAGCAGTCAGGGGTGCTCCCTGGGGTTAACGAGGCCAAGTACTTGCAGGGAGCTGGGAGCACCCTTCTCCTTGGCGCCAGTCTGCACACCTTTGCCTCAGACCTTTTGCCACGCAGCTCCAGCCTCTGTGGCCATGGCAGTGGCACACTTTGCCCTCATGGTCAGGTAGAGGGCTTGTAGCCTGTTGTAGACTTCCCAGCTATGGGGACAGGCATTATGCTAAGCACAACAGAGCACCTGTCATTTTTGGCCTATTCTCTGGAAATTGACACATGGGACATGGGGCCCAGACATTTAGTTTATTTTTTTAATTATTTTTATGTTTTATTTTTGAGAGAGAGAAAGAGACAGAGTGTGAGTGGAAGAGGGGCAGGGAAAGAGGCAGAATCTGAAGCAGGCTCCAAGCTCTGAGCTGTTGGCACAGAATTCCATACGGGGCTCAAACTCATGAACCTGTGAGAGTATGACTGAGCTGAAGTTAGCGCTTAACAGACTGAGCCACCCAGGGGCCCCTAGTCTATAGGGTTTTAAATAGATCATGTCTCCCAGAGGCAGGCCTCAGAGAGAAGAGACCTCATCGAGCTGGGTTCTGCCTTGCCCAAATCACTGAGATCCACTGTGGGTCCCAGAGCCAAGAATTGGGCATGCAGATTCCTAACAGAGACCAGCTCTCACTCAGGCTGCAAAGAAAGGGAAAAATGGTCGTTGAAGGTCCAAGAAAGGTTAGGAGAAGATCTTCTAAGAGTAGCATGGTCCTTTTGTAGAAATGAGAGGCATTTGGACTGAAAGGCTCAAAGCTAAGGTTTTCACAAGCAACTGAGGCTGTTGTTTGTAGGCCCACAGGCACAGAGGCCCCGAGTGAGCTAGGAGACAGCGCTGTGTGGCCACAGGTCTCAGCGAGCAGCTTGACACCGCTGGGCTTGCTCTCCAGCCTCTGTGGGTGGATGCCACAGCACAGAGGCACAGGGCTCCATAGGGCCCTTCAGAGGAAGGAGAGCCTACCCTTGCCACTTCTTTTTTCTTTACATGGCCCTCTCTTTTCCCATTGGGGGATGTTAGGGAAGCTTCATTCAGAAACCCTGAGGTGGGCTCAGAGAGATCTCGGCTCATGATAGTGGCCTTCGTCTGTGCTGTTGACTCAGAAGCTGGCTCCTGAGCAGATGGGGTTTGCATCCTGGTCACCGAGTGGCCCTGTGACTTGGACATCGAATCCTGCACTCTTCCTGGTGTCTCCCCAGTAGCAACACGCAGCGATGTTGCTTCCTCCCATGGGTTCCTATGAGGATCAAGTGAGGTTTGACATAAGAAATCAGAGAGCACTGGGGCTGAGGCAGAGTGGGTGCTCAGTCAGTGTGCCTGACTGACTGTAAGGCCTGTTGGCAGAGGAGCTGCCAATGGGCTCAGTACTCATTTGGTTACTTGAAATTGTTCGAAGGTTAACTCTGGCATCTGTGGGAAAGGACATTCCATTCTATGACCTTGAGGAAAGAAGAGGGGATGTGATTGGGTTACCACATGGGGAGGGATGGCCAGAGTTCACGCTTTTGCTGTATGCCAGCTGCCTCCTGAGTTAGTTCTCACCCCCTTTCTTTGTCTGGTTTGGTGCTCAGAGGACTACCTGGTTATCCATTAGGAAAGGAACAAGATGAGAGGAGCAAGAATAGCAGCATTTATTGAGCCCTTACTATGTAACAAGCATTAGGCTAAGTTGTCCATGACCATTATCTTATTTATCTTATTTAATCTTCCCCACAGCCCTTTGAGGTAAATGCTATTTTCCCTGTTTTAGAGATGAAGCAAGACTCAGAAGTTAACTTGGAAAGGTTAACTTGCCTAAAGTCATCCAACTAGGAAATGAGGGAATCCAAGTTTATTTGGCTCCAAAGCCAATGTGCCCCTTGGGATGGAAACTACACGGTTCTGATCTTCTCATGAGCACGGGAAGGCATGGACAGTCACACTTACCTTTATGTGTGAGATTTAAACTGCTGTGCTTAGTAGAGATGTATGAACCACCCAGCACAACTGCCCATGCATGTCTACGTATGAATATATGTATAACATTTGTGGCTGTACTTATATACTTTATCTGCAAAAGTGTATCTGCTCAGCACATCTGAACACTTGTATATAGGTACATGTGTGTGAGCATGCACAGGTGCCTGGAGGCTGGGCAGAGGCCATGGCCGTGCATGAAGGCTGAGAGAGTACATGAGGGAGGTATTCTTGGCTCACCCTCTGTCTACCAGTAGTGATTTGATTTCCACTGATATTCCTGTATGGGTGCAGATAAATGAAAGATGAATGTACTTGTTACAATGATGTACATACGTGCTGTTGTGTGAATACCTTGGGAGAAGGAAACCACATCCAGAAAGAGAATGTGCATCAGCAGCTCTCCCATTGAGCACAGTCCCAGCGCCTCAGGCCTCAGCATTGGGTGATTGGGCCTCAGAGGGCAGGGGAAGAAAGAGCCTGGTCGGGTAGGAGGATGCAGGTGAACAGAGGGAGCTGAGGGCAGGGCCAGATTGGCCAGGGAGAAAGAGTTGAATTAGCAGAGCTCCATGTTGTGGGGACGGCAGTAAGCACCTCTAATGGCTCACCTCTGGCACCTTTGCTCCTGACTTCCCAGCATGTTCTGGAACCCATTGGTCCCAGGCTGTGAATGACTTGAGGCACATCGTCACAGTCTGGTAGTCCCCCTGAGCTGGCGGGGGATCCTCTGTTGCTCTTTCAGGCTGAGGTAGCCCAACTGCAAGAACAGGTGGCCCTGAAGGATGCAGAAATTGAGCGCCTGCACAGCCAGCTCTCCCGGACTGCAGCCCTGCACAGTGACCACACAGAGAAAGGTAACTGGCTTGACTGGGAGAGAGTGCAGTTGCCCCCGGGCCCGCTCTTGTAAGTGGGCATGTGTGTCTGTGCATGAGCGTGTGTATGCCTGTGTGAGTAGGCTTGCTGATGTGCACATATGTCCTGTGTACACTAACATGTCCAAGTGAACAGGTGCATGTGTGAGTGCATGAACGGGCCTAGAACGCACAGCTCTACTGTGGAACCATTGCTGTGAACCCCTCCCCTGTCCAGAAGACTCCACCCCGAAGGCTTTTCTCACTTGTAGTCTGATCATTCAGCTCTGTGCAGCCACCTCAGGAGCTTTTCCTTGCACGTGACTGGAAGGACTTGTCTTTTTGTCATTCCCACAGGGGAAGCTTTAGCAATCTATTTACTCCTTGAATGGATACCTGCCTGATACTCCTACAAGGCCCTGAGGATACAGAAACAAATCCGTTATTTCTCCTCCTCAGATTTCAGATGCTACCTCTCAGAAAGGCCTTTTCTGGCCACTCTCCCTCAACCAGATGCCCCCGGTCTTATTTTTCCCTAGCTCAGCATTCTTTTTGTTTCCCTCATAGCACTTAAAACTCATCAGGGTTGCATTTGGGGAGGTCTCTGTGTAATTATTCTCCTCACCATGGGGCAAGGACTGTGTCTGTCCTATTTAAGACCATATCCCCAGAGCTTTGCACAGCATGCAGCCATGGTAGTCTCCTAAGAAATACTGGCTAAATGAAATGAAGGTGAATGATCCCTTATCAGTTCAAGTCTGCTGATTAAAAAGAGGATGAATCCTCAAATACTCTTATTAACACATATTTAATATTGACAGTGATTCACCTTGTATTCAAAATGATCACATACCTTCCAGTTTCTCCTCTTAGCCACCAGGCAGCAGAATGATCCTGGAGGAGGTCCTGTAGCCCTGTGGATTGGCCCCACTACCAGGGCCCTCTCAGCCTCAGCACTGCTTAGCTTGGGTCCCTGACTGGGGTGGGAAGCTGAGCGGCCATGAAACAATGGCTTAGGCTGGAGAAGTAAATTAGTGACCAATATGTTCATGCCTCCCCTAGTCTTTCTTGGTGTCTTCCTAAGCCTTTGATTGTGTCACCACCCTGCCAAGGCTCAAGGCGGAGGCTGGGGCCATCACTCTCTGTGATATTGAATCTGGACAGAGTGCTTCCTGTGCCTTGATCCTAGGCCAGGTAGCCTTTCCCCCTCCACGCTATGCTTCTAGAGTCCGGGGCTTCCAATCCATCATCTGGTAACTCTTGGAGTTACCTTTGGTCATATGTTGCTCAAATTGTGTTCTGCCACAAAAGCACTGAGGTTTGCCAGTCTTCATATGAAGCTTACCACCCTCCTCCCACAGACAGGGCTGCGGAGTTGATCTTCAGCTGCCAAGAGCCTAAGATAGTGAGCAAGCACTCTGTATTGTCCTCTGAAAATGAATACCCAAGTCTACTCTTCCTTGTTGCAAATGGGATGACTTTGGTTCCCTTGTCTCCTGGGCTTTTCTCATATACACACCCCCTCTTCCTTTCGCAGGAATCACTTTAGGAATGAGGATATTTCCTTGTTTTGAAAATGCAACTATGTGCCACTCCCTAGACCTAAATATCTAGCAGACTGACCTCCAGCTCCGTTAGGCATTGGCCATTGACCTCGCCCTCCAGACAAGTTTGGGAAGAAATCAGGAGTCCCTATTAAGTCCAGAGTGATAGCAGGCCTTAGGTTGTTCACCACAGACTGACACAAGTGCCTTGGCCCATAGAGAGATTCTATAGGTTTCTGAAATAAGATAGTTTCCCCTAACTGTGGAATTTGTTTTTATATATTTATAGATGTGTCTAAATATTCTTTAGTCAATTCTGACTATAGCATTTTAAATTAAGCCGAGTACCCAGTTCTTTTACATAATCATTTTTTTCTTGTCTTCATTCAGCTGTAGACTTTTTTTTATCTTTCTTATTTTAAATTCTCCTTTGCTATAATCCATGGGACTGTATGATTTTCTCCAAAACTAGTTATAACCCAGGTACATGCCCACTCAAGTAATAATGTCTGTATTCTCCTGAGATGGTTTTTAAAGGTTTTTGGTTCCATTTACTCAAAATGGAATTTTTATTTTCTCCACTATTCTCTACAAAGAGAAAATGAAATACTAGTTTCACTCATTCATTTAGTAGTCCAACAAATACTTAATGAGAATGACTATACCAGACACCATCATGGGCTCTGCAATTTATTCACAAGGAAAGTCTTAGCATCTTAGCATGTGTGGGTAGCTGTCTATGTGTAAATAATTCTTCCTACATCTAAATTCTTTTAGACCAAGAAATTCAACGTCTGAAAATGGGGATGGAAACTTTGCTTGTTGCCAATGAAGACAAGGTAAGATGGTTCCATCAAGGCAGCCCTGTTCTTCCTCTGCTGACAGGCTGTTTCATCCCTACTAGTCTCTGATATTCTGGGCAGGGCCATGCCCATCAGGCCAGTGACCCAGGGAGATGTCAGGAGAATGGCTTCTGCCTTTTGGAGACTGAGCCACAGCCATTTGTTTTTGGCTTTGATGCCTGGGTACTTTGCCTAAGTGAAGTCTCCCAAAGGCAGACTAAAGTCATATCTGTTCGTGCTGGCATAAGGACAAAAAATACCACTGTGGTTGCTGCCAAATTCCATAACTGCTGCTTAGACTCCTGGCAAAGCTTGAAAGCAGTCCACCAATCTACTTGCATGATCTGGTGATAGACCCATCACGGAGACACTAGGCAGCACTCAATGTGTTTACCCCACCCGCCTTCCATTCTTCACATCTGATCACCTGCATAATCCTAGGGTAGCCACCTCTGTAATTATAGAGCATGAGCACTTACCCGGGATGGCCATCACCTCTGAGGATCACAACCCTGCATTTTACAGATAAGGAAACTGACATTCAAAGTACTTGAATAGTTTTGTCCAAGGTCTGTTAACAGTAGGGAGTGGAGCCAGGGTTCACACCCAAGCCTGTCTAATGCCCAAATCTGTGTGGCCTCCCAAGCTTCCAGGCCTTTGCCGAATGAATTGTTCTCCTCTGAGAATTTTACCTGTTGTACAAGGAATCTCAGTCTCCTAAGGAACAGGTTGAGGGTATTGGGGATAAATAGAACAGTTTTATTTTAATCTTTCTTTGCATGCAGCTTCAGAGGACAACGTGTGAACCAAAGGCTATCTCAGGAAGGTAGGGAGATAGTTTTCCTATTTCTGGAAGTGTTTGAGCCCCTAGATAGCTGTGTCAAGAAAGAACTGTTTTATGGCTAGAGATTGGACTCCTAACCTTTGGGTAGAGGCAAGAATGTTTGCAGCTGCCTTAGAGGCAGACAATGGAAACCTAGGCTCTGTGGGAAGAAGGCTGGACACTGGGCTTCCCGTCCAAGTGCTCCTTGGTTTCCACATAGCATCCCTTCCCAGTGTGCCCAGAATGTAGTCTGAGCCCCCAAATGAAATCTTCCAAGAGGCCAGCGGTGGTGTTTACATATTGTCTGCTCTCACACTATGACAGGACCGTCGGATAGAGGAGCTCACGGGGCTGTTAAACCAGTATCGGAGGGTGAAAGAGATCGTGATGGCAACTCAAGGTGAGGGCAAGGAGGATTCTGCTCTTTTCTCCCAGAAGTATTCCATCTACTGTGTTAAATCCAGTGGCATTTTGCTACAAAGTTCTTAATCTTCATTTGGAGAAGATCCTCCGCTGGATAATGGAACTGATTAGACTGTCCTGGATGGCGGGAATTGGCAGCTATTGATTTCTAGAAAATGTCTAGAAAAAAATGTCTAATGATAGGCCAGAGCTCCCATGGACTAAGCAGATTATCAAGAAAATAGAGCCTTCAATGTGGGCCCTTGGGAATATGCATCCTTGGGGATCTCCTGTGTGTCCTTTCCAGGATACCTCTTAGAGGCAGTGAGTGCAGTCAAACCTGGACCAAAAACCAGTTTGATACCCTCATTTAGGATTTGAGTGTGTCCACCTCCTGAGAACCTAAAAGCTCCCCCAGCAGATTTCCAGGGCACGGTGGGAGCCTTCTTTGAGTCTCTGGGTACCTGGGCTCCTGTAAGAATACATGGGGCAGGGAGGGTGCTTTATGTTTCCTACTTGCTGTGCGGGCTGAATGCCACATGCAGACAGCATTAGTGTCCGAGTAAGCACAGTGGGCCATTGACCTGGGCTCCTGTCACTGACCTCTGGAAAGCAGCTGCTTCACTGGAGAGGGCTGCTTCGAGGGTGTTCAGGGACTTCATGCTGGCGAGCTCCTGCTGGTCCTGTGCATGTATCACAGCCCTGTTTTGCCTCCTCCTCTGTTATTTGGGGGCAGAGTCAGAACATCATTGCCCTTGGCCAAGGAATGAGAAGCTTAGGGAGGAATATTAAGGGTTGCCTTCTCTCTCTTCCTCCTATGAGCTTTGACCTTGAGATGACCCTCAGGACAGCCCTTCTTCAGGTTCCCCGAAGAATCTTATAAATTAGACCCATAATGTCCCTTTATATATTTCTTAGTCTTTCCAGATGAAGGAGAAACACTGTTAGAAATGTGTGGTATAATCAGTTTTCAGACGAATCCCTCAGGAATGATCCCTTCTTCTGCATTACTGCTTCCAGGGCCTGCAGACAGAACTCTCTCAATCAATGAAGAAGAACTTGAGGGAAGTTTCAGAAAGTGGAACAGTGCCAACAAAGGCCCGGAAGAATTATTTAAACCAGAGGTGCTGTGTTTCCATCTGTGATGTGGGGTTTCAGTGGGCCCTAGGAGCTTGCGCTGGGCTTGGGGGAGGATCGAATCAGGCACCTGTCAGGTAGAAACCTTGACAGGTGAGAAGTTCATTGGATGCAGTTGCCCCCGAGGCCTGAGGGAGTTCATCGAGAGTGGAGAGGGGCCCAGACCCGGGCCTGTGTTCTAAACGCTCCCCCAGCAGATTTCCAGGGCATGTTGGGAGCCACCTTTGAGTCTCTGGGTACCTGGGCGCCCGTAGGAAGCCACAGGGCAGAGAGGGCACTTTGTGTTCCTTATTTGCTGCGCAGGCTGAATGCCACATGCAAGTCAGCATTAGTATTTGTATGAGCACTAGAGGGACGCTAGTAGAAACTGGACTTTTCAAGGGTAGAAATTTTCTTTTCAATCCAGTTCCTTGTTTCTTTCTGTCTTTCCTCTCCGTGATGTAAGCTGAGACCAAAGGTGGTTTCATTTTCTTTCTCCCTGTTTCTCCAGTGTCTGTAATAATGCCTGATGCCCAGGAGAATGCAAATATTTGTTGAGTGAATGACTATGTCTTGGTTCACCCATTGCCGTGATACGTTCCTATTTCACAGACCTCCCCTTCAGCCCCTGTAACCAGCATGCAGATTTCCATTCTCTCTTGCTTGTTTAAAGTCTGGTCCTCTTATATGAACCTCTCTGCATTTAGACTGGACACAAATAAGCAAATCAACTCCTAAATCCAGATCTCAAGTGGAGAAGGGGCTTCGGCCCAGGACGTAAAAGGATCATGCAACTCTAGAATGGCCAAATTGAAAAGGGTCTCAGTGGTCTAGCTCAACTCTTTTAATTGAGGGAGGAGCAAAAGTGTCATCCAGTGACCGTGTTATCAAGTCAGATGAACATTCTAAAATGAGCTCATAATGAGCCTATTCTAGATTGCTGAGAATAATAAAATAGCAGTGATTAACACTCAGAACCTCTGTGTGCTCCCTGTAATGAGCACTGTACCTGACGCTCACCTCATTTCTCCTCATGACACCCCCTGGGATTCTTACTGTATTATGATGAAACTGAGGCTCAGAGAGGGTAAATATTCCACTTCAGGTCACACAGCAGGTAAATGGCAGAACCTGGAATTGAATCCACATCTATCTGACCAAAAATCCCAGGCTTTTAATAGCTGTATTATAATGCCAGGGTTCTCCTGCTAGCAGACCAAAAAGGTACTTCCTGGGCTCTAGAGAAAAGGCTGTCTTTGCACTTGGTACAATACCCAAGACATCAGACTGTGTTGTCCTTAGACACCACCATTAGCTCATGTTTGGTCCACCCATAATGCTCTTCCCTTTTTGCCTTCTCACTAAGCCCATTCCTGTTTCTCAGGTGTTCTCCCCTCTGAAGCCCTCTTCTGGAGTATCCCCTCCCTCACCTGTACCCCGATATTGCATTATAGGTATTAGTACCATAAGGATGTGCACGCTGATCTTTTATCCTAATGGCCTGCCCGTCTGATGTGGGGAGCACGTCCCCCACACCCCTGCAGGGCCGGGCCAGTGGTAGATGTTGCTCATAGCCAGTGTAGTGCTTCTCCAGGCAAGTCACAGATATCGACTCTGGCTAGCCTACGCCAAGGAGGCATGTTTTTTAAAGGGTGTGTGTGGGCTCCCTGAATGAAAGGAAAAGCTGAAGAACTGAGCTCAGAAAGGGCAGGAGCCGCAGGATCCCAGGGGTGCAGGCATCAGGACGCTACTGCAGGCATGTGGGTGTAGGTCCGGGAAGGAAGAACAGGTTTGGCCTAGGTTTTCAATACTCCTTTCTCCTTGGCATCTTGAAAGGGCAAGGCACCCGTATTGACACAGCCACCGTAGCTATACCCAAGGGAGGAAGTGCAACTCCCAAAGGGGGAATTCCCCAAAGAAGGGAAAGGTCTCCAGATAGTAACCATCCTCTACAGTGACTTATGTTTCTGGTGCAGATGCCTCCAAGATGCAGCTCTCCCACCGTGGGGCCACCTCCACTCCCGCAGAAATCACTGGAAACCAGGTAGGAGGCCTGATCATTTCTCCAGAGCTGCTGTGCCCTCACACCCCTTTGGGGGCTCCTGCATTGTAGGAACTGGCCATGTGTGGTCATGAGCACAGCCACCATGTCCTGGGCACACCTGCCCTTCCACTGTCAGAGCGGCAAGCCAGGCCCTGGAAGTAGCCACAATGTGGCCCAAGCCATGGAGCAGTCGTGAATTGTGCCTACCTCCTCTGGCCATGGAGGGGCTTCCCTTCCTGTGGGCTAAGGGTCTGGGCCATTGTCACTAAGAAAAGACCTGGCCAGGGGTTGGGTTCTCAAAGGAGAGGTGGCCGTGGGTCATCTGTGCCCTCCAGCAGCTCTTTGGGGCTGGGAGCATCCCGTCATGTGTGTCTCATTTTCATCAGGCTCTCTTGAAAGTCCATCCCACTCTCAGGAGTCCTGGAGCCCTGCAATAGTCCAGGCTCCCCAGGGAGAGCCATTTCTGCTGCAGGGAGGTTGGTCCAATTGCTTTGGGGAAGCTGCACATGGCAATGAGCTTATAATGGGCTGGCCTGTTGGATTATCTGTCTGCCACCTGCCTGGCTCCCTCCAAAATGAACCTATTTCTAGTTCCCTAGAAATTGTTGTGTTCAACAGTTGTTGTGTTTAACAATTTATAACACATTTCCAAGTTGGGCCCTATGTAATGGAGAGCTAGAGTCTGTACTGCCAAGAGCAGACCGTCTTTCAGCCAAGGTGTCTGGGGAAATTGGCCTTAAGTATGATGGAAGCTTCTCTAGAATGCTACTGAGTCTCCTGAACATACGTGTTCAGGACCCCACTTTCTAGAGAGTGATTGTTTGCCTCAGCCTTTAGCCCTAAAGAAAAATGTCAGTGTCAAAGATGGCAGTTGGCCAGTCAGTTTCTCACAGAAAGAAATTTAGTTTATGAGTTCACTTAGGAGAAAGTCAACACCAGTTAACTCACACTAACCCAGACTCACAAGATACCAGTGTACCAAGAGGTTCTGCTTTATTCACGTAAACTGAGAAATATCGCTGCTGAGGAGACTTACCACAAGGTAACCCTTGTGACCACCAGTGGCATTTACCTCTTCTCTATATAATTAGTCCCCTTCTCTGCAAAATAACCTCTGAGAAAACAAATTCCTCTGAGCAGACTAGTCAGGGCAGACAGAGCCAGAGCAAAGGGTGAGAAGGTGCTAGCATATGGAGCTGTGGCTGGGTAACGTGCTCGTCTTTAATGTGGCACAGCGCCTTCCTCCCTGGATTCCATCTTAGACTCACAGACAAAGCAGGATTGGCACCTTTCCTCTCTTTTGATTCTGCAGGTTGTCTTTTATAACCACATAACAGTTAGCTCCCATTGATGTAAAAGAATTGAGTGTATTCTAGATTTTCGAAGAATGCCACAGTCTTTTGATTTGGATTTAAATGATGCCCTTGTGCCCTCAGCAACACATTATCTGACCAGTCTATCCCCTGAAATGGGCCAGTCTCCTATGTAATGGTTATGATGAGAGGTTGGTTCTTCTTCCTGAACTTGACCCGAAACCCTCTTAACAGGACACTAGTAAAACACTTTAAATATCCTCCGCATAACTGACACCAGGCACTTCCTTCTCCAGTAACTCTTTCTTTGTTCGCTGTCTTTTGTGTTTTTTCCAGGGCTCAGAAAAAGCTCTCGTGTAGTCTAGAAGACCTGAGAAGTGAACCTGTGGACAAGGTCAGCCCATCAGTGTCTCCATAAAGACTCCTGGCTTACTACTTCTTACCCAGCAGTGCTGGGACATCTGGTCCCACTTGATAGAGGCCTTTCTAAAGCTGATGGGGATGAGCATTTTGAGAAAACCTGTCAGGAGTGGCCCAAGGCATCATAGAGGCAGGATAGGAATTGATGGAGATGTTGAGGTGTAGGGAGCAGGAAGATGTAAGTTTAGATCCATTGAGTCTGATCAAACCATAGAAGGTCTTGAATCCTGACCCTACATCCCCAGAGCCACTTGGGAGCATTACATAGATTTTAAATGAGGAAGTAATGTAAATAAAGTTGATAAGCCCAGGAGTGAGTTATGGAATAATTTAGAACACTGTAGAAGAAGCTTTTTTGAGTCTAGAAAGATATGAGGAGAGTTTTGTGGCCCCATATCTGAGGGTAGCCCTTGACCGTATGGGTGACCCTTATGCTGGAGGGATAGGTTGCAGGTTCTTGAGCAAGGTCACTGGAGACTAGGGGGTCCTCCTCTGACACAGCACCTTAATGGAGCCCTGCTGCATACAGTCCCTTGCTCTGAGCAGTGGACCAGAGCTGGTAATTAGAGTGGAAACCCATGAAGGCTGGAGCCAGCAGGAGCCACAGGGCCCATTCAGTGGCTCTGTTCCTGTGGTCCTGTGCCTCTTGCTCCTCCTAGTCAGATTGCTGGCAGCTGCCCAGAACATCTGTCCATGACTTGGACAGTGATCAGTGTTTCCTCCATGGGTGGTGATCACCTGACATATAGACGGGGAGGGAAGCAATGAGCCCTGCAGATGTAAGCATGCAGGTGGTCCTGAGTTGCTGTTTGCGACTAACACAGGTCTCTCTTTCTCCACATGCTTGAAATCCTTCTTTCTGCTGCAGTGTGTCGATGGGAACCAGCTCTCCCCAGTGATAGAGCCCAAGGTATATTAACTGCATGCCCCTGTCATGCATCTGTGATCGCCTGTCTGCTAGAGTGTTTTCATTTAGCAGGTTACGGCTTTTGTAACTGTAAAATCTGTTAATCATAATGGGTAAGAGTGCAGGAGGAAAGGCAAAGCTTCCTCCTCCATTTTCTGTTTATGTGCACCCCGCTGTGTAATGTGATTTCACCTCATTGACTGTGGGTAGGATTTATTATTATCTCCTCCATTTTACAGGCTCAGAAAAACCCATCTTTAACAAGGCGTCGTAGATAGGATTGCTAGGAAGGGGGAATGGTCAGACTGCCACATACAATCAGATGAGTGTGACAGCTCTCATCCTTTCTGTACTGATGTGTCATGGTTAGACACAGGGACACACTCAGCCACAGGTGCAAGCATCCTTCTATGGCATCCCCTAACACTGGTATCTGGCACTTGCTTTCTGTGACTGAGAGCTCATTTTATCATAAGACACATACATCCATATTCTTTCCCAGCTCTCTTAGATACATCTTCTGGACTTCCCTAGAATGTGCACCCGCTGATCCCACCTCTCCCCCTGGAGCTCATGGAATGAACCAGTGTCCCCTGCTGCTCCAGAATCAAAGTCCCTCAGGCCCTCTCTGACTTCAACACCCTCTCCTCATGTGTACAGATCACAAGCATTTAAAGTTCCTATTCCATCTCCTTAGGGTCAGCACTAGTTACTCTAGCTCGTGGTCTGGTCCACACTTGAGCGCCATATTCTAGATGGGGTCTGATTGGTGGCTTCCTTGAGCTGGGGACTGCTCTTTACGGTTACTGTTACTGTTGTCAGTGCAGGCCCCAGGCATGTGATAGTTTGTGTAGCTCTGTTTATATACTGTCCTGGTGTGCTCAGCCTGAGGCAGGAATTGTTGCCTATTTAGAAACAATAAAACAGGTTCTGGGAGGCTCAAGAGAAAGAGTTGCCTGAGTCCCGTCTGCTGCGAAGCCCGTGTTCCTGTCACTCTGGTGTGCTACCTCTCTGTTCTAACTTAAGGCAACTGAGCAATCAGTTATATACTGCTCCCTGTCTGGGATTTCCATTCCCCCAAAACCAGGCTTATTCTTCTGTTCCTTCTGTGTCCTATCCTGACTTTGACCTTCTCTGGCAACGAGTACTTCCTTCCCAGCTTTCATTCTTGGGTGAACGGAGCTGAGAGCCCTTTCCGTCACCCTCGGTTCCTTTTGTTGTCATTCTTATGGGTCTGGACGGCCCTTCCTCGAGTTAGGTTCTGTCCTTTTCCTCTTAGCTCCCCAGCAAGCACCCAGAGCAGCCCACATCCGTGGCTTTGGTCATCTCTGCCCTGTCTCTGGGGGCATGTGTGATGATGCAACCAGAAATTTGGCTTTGAGAGCCCTTCCCCGCTCCATATTTCCAGTGTGATGGGGACCTGGAGTCACAGTTCTCTAAACCTATCGAACATTGCCTTCCCCACAGTCTGTGGTTCCAGATTGTTCTCTGACTGTGTTATATCCTTCCTGACCAAATAAGTGCACTTCTGTCCCTTTACGTTATCTTGTTTCTTTGGGACCCTTTCTATGGCCAGAGTGTGTGTGCAAGCCTGTTGCACTGGAGCTGAACCTCATGCAAACTATGATCCTAAGATCCTGAGGGAATTGTTGGCATGTAGCCCCTGGTCTGTTTTCTCTCCTGAGTGTGAAAAAAGCGTACCTTCTTGCTTTGCCTTAACGGGCTATTTTTCAAAATAACTTATTGTAATGTATTAATATATATGCTCTATATCTTAAATACATATAATAAATAGGTATACCTTTTATTAGAATTTGGGTTTGCCTATTCAAGTGCCCAAAGGATAATTCACGGCTATAATTCGTTGAGCCTCCAAGCATTAGGCCAAATGCCGAAGCCCCCCTTTGTAAGATGCTTCCACTTCCTGTTTAGAATCCTCTGCAGTCAGCCCTGGATTTGGCCTTGACTCTGTTCCTGTCTCATCACATGGCCCTTTTGCAGAACTCTGGTCCCCCCTTTCTAGATCTTTGAAAGGTCTCTGAGTTGACCTGAGTGAAAAATGGCCCTTAGAAAGCCAAGCAGTGCCTGTATCCAGGGATTTCCTAACTGGATTTGATTTTGAGCCTGGTAAGCTGATTCAACACGTCTCTTTGTCTCCTTCCAATAGGACGGCCCTTTCCTGGTGGAGCACAAATATCCCACCTTACCCGGGAAGCTTTCAGGAGCTACGCCCAATGGAGAAGCTGCCAAGTCGACTCCCATGGCCTCCCAGCCTGACCCCACAGGGAGCAGCCTTCTGAGGCTGAGTGAGTGTCCAGGCCTTGAGGCTGGCGGCCCCGGGAGCTGGGGCCTTGTCACATTCCATTATGGCCCAAGGTCCCTGCGCCCACGGTTGGAGAATGTGGGGGCGGGGGTTGGGTGGACGAGATAAGTTGTCCCTCTGGGTGGCCTCCCTTGCAGAGACAATGGCTCCCTGTCTGGGTACACTGTTTCCTTTGGCTAACACTCTGCAGTGCCAGAAACCTAGGCTGCGAGCCCACCCTTTCTTTCCAGCCACACCCCACCCCTATTTTCCCTCTTCCAGTCCTCCTCTCTTGGCCTTTCTTATCCTTCCCATCATTCCTCTGTTCCCTCCCTCTTAGACCCCTTCTGCACCCTTCCTGTCCCTCACTCCAACCCCTCCTCCTCTGTCATCCTGATCTTCTCTCTCCTGTCTCTGCCTTCCTCTTGCAGCCTCCCTATTACCATTAGGATGATATTATGTGCTCTTCCAAGGGAGATTGTTTCCTTAGGGAAATGGAGTCAGTGGCCAATGGGCAAGGATGTCCATCCACAGGTACCCTTTTGGTGCTTAGGGCCTGGAACCAGAGGGGTCTTTGCTGCTTTTCATGCAGAGTAGGCCATCTTTCCTCAACAACAACAGATCAGTGGAGCCCAGGAGGAACGTTCTGGTCCCTACAGAGCTCTCCCTAGCCGACCTCTCACCTCTGGTTGTTACCTGAGCTAGCCCATGTGTCGGCTTCTGCCCTTGGCCAGTTCGGCCTCTGACTACAGGAACTCCAAATAAGCTCATGAATAAGTCTGTCCTAGTAATATGGAGACTCTCAACTTGGGAAGGCTTCGGGCCATTACAGTCTGATCTAAGTGAGCCCTGGCTCCCTCATAAGAGGTGCACGTGGCCCTGTATATCAACCCCTGCCGCTGTCCCTCCCTCTCCCTGCGTGTGTGTGGATACTTCAGCCTGCCAGGAAGTGGCCCCAGGAGTATTTGGCCCCTCATGTGAGGCCTCTGTTCACTGCCCTGAACCTGTGGGCCAAGTTCAGCCACCGTTCCCCACTTCTTTTCTCATGGGATTGTTTTTCTTTCTGTTTGATTTTTTCTCTCTTGCTCGATGACTCTTTTGTTTATTTCTTTGCTTCCCTATAACTCTGTTGGGCTGGACTTTGGCCTCTCTTGCTTCTTCATGTGGCTTCTCTGCTTCTTGATTGGCTGGAGATCGTGGCCGGAGTGTCAGTGCCCCCGTATTAGGTACTGTACCCTTCCAGGTGAGGTGGAGAGTGAGATGCCCTTGTTTCCCTACTCTGACACCCTCCCCTTCTGGAACATTCAGCCAAGTCCCCCTCCTGCTTGCATTCCTGCATCTCCCTCTGGAAAAAGAGGAAGCTCCTTGTTGGAGTTATCCACAAGTACTTAGACCTCAAAAACCTTTAGCACTTGAAGACATTAGCTTACCCAAATTTGAAACCTTAACTTCTCTAGTCCTCAGAGAACCTGGAGTGTGCCTGACCCCCCTGCTGGTCTCTGAGATCTAGATGTAAAGTTCTGCCCTGAAGGCAGAGCAGGGCAGACTTCCCCTCTCCCACTGAAGGATGCCCCGGGCCTGGGGAGGAGGTCTCCAGAGGTCCCGTTCCTTCCTCTCATTCATACGCCATTCTGTTCTTCCCATCTTAGGAGACACAGAAAGTGGTTGGGACGACACTGCTGTGGCCAATGACCTCTCATCCACATCATCGGGCACCGATTCAAGCCCCCAGTCTCCCCTGACACCAGATGGTAAACGGAGCCCCAAAGGCATCAGGAAATTCTGGGGAAAGTAAGTTGGTGGTGGTGATCATAATTATGTTGCTTAGAATCGGCATTCTTCTTGAATGGACAAAGAACTGTATAACCCCCTGTTTAATCAGATGTTGAAACAGCAGTAAAAACAGAATGGTCATTAGAAGGATTTGAATTATCTTGTAGGCCCTAGAGGAGAACTATGAAAACACTCATTAAATGTAACAGTTGCCTTACATGTCCTTCATTCCAGGCATCTGTCCATCCCACGAACCCTGAGTGCATTCTCTGTAGTACTCTGTAGCACCACAATGTACTTTGGGAGAGACACTTGGATGAGACCAATTTCTTCCTTCTGAGGGCTCAGTCTGTGTCCTAAGAAAGACTTGCTGGCCCAGTCGACCCATTCTGGGAAATGAGGCAGAAACTGGGGCCTCCTACCAGGCAGCATTCCTCACTTTGACTCCACACAGTCACACAGTGACTCCACACAGTGGATCTGTGTGCCTGTGTGTCCACGCAGTGCCCCAAACCCCAGAGGCAGAAAGAGAATGGAGGCTGGGTCTGGGGAGCTGTCACAGGTCATGATCCTTGACCTCTAGGGAGGCACTGGGAATCAGTGCTGTGGAGAGTCATGTGTCCAGCTGCTGTGGCCCTGTGCAGGGGGCTGATACAGTGACTCCATGCTCTTTGAACTTCCCCTGACAGCCTCCATGGATTCCTCTCCACACAGAATCCGAAGAACTCAGTCAGGAAATTTCAACACTGATGCTCCGGGGATGGCAGAGTTTCGACGCGGTGGGCTCAGGGCAACTGCAGGGCCAAGGCTCTCCAGGACCAGAGACTCCAAGGGTCAGAAAAGGTAAAGCTCCCTCTGGGGAGGGGTGGGAAGTGGTGAATGCTTCCAGAGATGGAAGGCAGGAGCTTCTAGTGCTAAGCTTCTCAAGCTTTCCCACTTGGCATGAGTAGACATTGCTCATGTTTTACAGACACACTGAGGTAAAGGCACGAGGCTCCCTGCAAGCCAAGGTGGGCAGTGGTCCCTATGGCCGTCCTGAGGACCCCAGCAGCTCTGTGCCTGTGCTTGCTGGCTTGAGAAGCTCGGGGGCAGCCATTGAGAGCACAGATTCTGGAACTGTAGACCTGAGTCAGAATGTCTGCTCAACTACTTCCTAGACGTGGGCCTTAAACCAAGTTGTATAACTTCTCTCTGCCTCAGTTTCTTCATTTGTGAACTGAGGAGTAAAAAAAAGTATTTTATTAAAGTTCTTATGAGGATTACATGCACTACTGCCCATCTAGCCCAGGAATCAGCGGTCTGCCATTCATGGGTCCACTTCCTCCAGGAAATGTGAGAAAGGGTGTTGTCTCCCATCACCCTGGATCAGTCCCCCTCCCGCACAGACCTCCACAGAAGGGTGTTGGCCTATTGCCATGGTCCCTCCTAAGACAAAGCACCACAGTTTGCTGAAGGGTGTGAGCTAAAGGGGATTGCAGAGGGTGTGTGGCCCTGGAATCAAAATGGGAACTTTGACATGACTCTTCCATTGTGCCCAAATGAAAAAGCATTAAAAGAAGTTAAACGTTTCCTGGACTGCCCTAGTAGATACCCTCCAGTTACTGGCTTTGCCCCCTTTCCTTAGGTCACCCTATTCTGAGAAAGCATGCCTCCCTTCAGACCTGCGCAGGCAAATCTTTGCTCCTGTGTTTTCGGAAAATCCCTTTCCACATCCTCTTTTCCCATCAGACAATTTCTATAGTACATTGTCTCCAGCAACGTTCTCCTAAAGTCTGAGTTATTCGGCCAAGATCAGGCTTCTGGGGGCCTTCTTCAAGACCAGATCGTGCCATTTTAAATCTGACCCAAGAGCAGAAAGTAACATTAACTCTCCTATTTAATCCCCCTGAGATTGCCACACACCAGTGCTGGTTAGTAAGAAGTGCTGAAATCAGGTCTCAGAAACAGTGCAGCCTGGAGCCCAATGGCGAGCGAAGAACGTTGCCCTAAAGCATCGTGTTGTTCGCAGACCTGCACCCCTGAAGAAGGGAACCCATGGATGCACACTACCCCCCTCTGCCCCCCTCAGGCTTCTAGGCTTTGCAAGTGAGCACGAGGCCTTTCCAGATCCACTTGCGCCTTGATGTTGTCCCCAGACATCCTCTCCAGGTGCCTAGCAGGCAATTTTTAAATGTAGACATTTCTGATTTTTCAGAGATGAAAAAAAATCTACAGTAAGCTTGAATGATTGACCTTGGCTCCAATTCTGGCAATTTCTTTAGCGTTGATTCTTGAAGGGGAATCACTGGCAGGGGCAGAAGACCTTTTCTAAGACCCTTCGGCCGTTTTTGCCCAGTGTAGGACTGCATGGTTAGGGGGCCCATTTTGCCATTCTGGGCAGCCATTTTGGGATGGGGTAACCAAAGTCAGGAACTTGCTCTGCTGAAAGAAAAACAGCATTTCCAGCCACAGAGCTGCTTTGTTTGAATGTCTTTGTGCTTTGTTAACCAGAACAGTGATGACGAAGGGAAAGAAAATGACATCCTAAGGAGACCGCTGCATTTATCCTAACAGTGCTGGTCCTAACAGCGTGTGTTTGCCGGTAGAAAAGAAAGGGCTTTATTACTCTTAAGCAGAAATTTGATATAACCTAAGGCTCTGGTATTTACAGATGTTTCAGTATAGGCTTACAAAATATCGCCGCCAATATCCCTGTAGGTAAAGCACTTTGTTACAGCGAGTCTCCGGGCCCAATCTTTTTCTTTTCTAATGAAATATTTATTTTTAAATGTCATATTTGATAATGACACTTCATAGAACTCCTCTCTGAGGTTATAGAAGAGGGAATTTTATTGTCTTTTTTTTCCTTTTTTACTCATTTGCATTCCAGGCGGCACTCCTGTACAGGGTGCCTGTCCCACCCACAAAATACTACATTTTTATTGTTAATTTTATTTGCATATGTTTGTCATTTTTAGTGAGTTGTCTGCATTTTTTTGCCCATTTTTGTTAATGTCTGTCTGACAAATTTTTATCTTCTCTCTCTATATTAAGGTATTAAACTATTTCTAATTGTGATAAATTATTTTTTAGGCTCCTCACAGAATTTTACTTTATTCTCTGACAGTTTGATATATGGAATTTTTGTTTCTGTATAATGAAGTTCGTGAACTTTTCCTTTGCAGTTTCTTCCATGTTAATTTTTTCTGACAATTTTCTTTCAAGTTCATTTATTTTGAGAAGGAGAGAGAGAGAGAAAGTGTAAGTGAGGGAGGGGCAGAGAGAGAAAGAGGGGGAGAGAGACAGAATCCCAAGCAGGCTCCATGCTGTCAACCTATGAACCAAGATCATGACCTGAGCTGAAGTTGGATGCTTAACTGAGCAAAAAACTTGTGTTCAAATCTTATACTTGGGGATTTATTTTGGCATGTGGTGAGGGGTAATTTTATTTTACCAAGAAAAAGCAGTAGTGTATAAGGTATAAATCAGGGAGACTCTATCACATGGTTGGATCTCATCTTTGTACAGGGATTTTCTGAGTTTGTCTCTGGAGTCAACTGCTGTTTGGAACTGTAGCTTTATGAGAGTCTCTAATCAGACTATTTTGTTGCCTTTCTTCCGTATTCATGGTCAGTGTCAGGTTTATCCTGAATGTGAGAAAGCCTAAGCTTGAAGGTCCTTTACTTGCACCTGAGTGTCTTCTAGGATCTAGACAGTGTCCAGTCAATGTGCTGGCATTGGCCATGGGTTTTGCAAAATTTTCCTAAGGTATTTTATTTAACACAACCAATTTTTGACTGCCGACTCTCTACTCCAGCCTTCCCTTTGTCTATACATTACCTTCTATCAGATGACTTTGGAGTAGCATGGGCATTTTAGGGAATCTGGCTAAGGGGAAATTTAAGTTTTGGGTATACATTTAGTTTGAGTTTGTTGGGATATGCATATGTGGTTTGCAGTCACTTCATGTTTAGTTGACTAGCTGTCCAATATAAAAATGGCTTCCAGGGTTACTGCTGCCTCCCAGTGTACCAGTTTGCCCAGCACTCTGATACAAAGATGCACAGCTGGAGATCATGTCCCAGTATGAATGTGCACTCTGATATAAAGAGGCAGAGTTGGAGATCGTGTCCCAGTATAAATGTGTCCTTTGGCACTCAGTAACAGAAGTATGGGGTGGTGGAGAAGAAACATTTCAAATGTGTAAAACCAGAAGCTATTCTGTGAAACCTTTTTCCAGTCGTTAGATCTGCAAAATCCCAGGCCAAGTGATTCAATTCTCTTGGATGCTTAGTTGAAACAGAAGTTCTGTCTCGGCAGAAATGCACTAACGAAGTGTATACAATTATAAATGTGCCATATGTACTCCCTCTTTCATGGGGATGGCGTATCTGATAACCTGTTACATCGTTTTAACTGCGATTTGGAAAGATGTTTTGGAACATGTCAGTAAAGCAAGGGGTTTGGCTGTGTCTGAAAGGTATCTTCTCTGTCCTCTCTAAATTGCTTAATAACACGTTCAGCTAAGGCCCTGGGCGACCTCGGAACTCAGAGAACCTGCTGGTGGGGGAGGGGCGGAGTAGCATGGCAGGAGGAAGAGGGTGAAGAAGCAGGGTCTGCTACTGTGGGAACAACCCAGGGGTGCGAGGGTGAAGAGCATTTACAAAGAAGGACATGGGAATTCTGCCGAACACAAGCACCAGAGCTCTAGACGGTTCTGAAAAGCTATACAAGACCAAGGTTTTCAAATTATCTCAAAAACACTTAATTTTTCCTTCAGAGCTGAAATACTCTTCTGATATATTGAATACCCATTTTTATCAATTTCCAGAAACAAGAAAAGGAATGAAATTAAAAACTAATATAATGTGAAATAAAAGTGATAACATGCACATTTGAAATTGAAAGTATTCTGAGGCGCCTGGGTGGCTCAGTCGGTTAGGCATCCGACTTCGGCTCAGGTCATGATCTCACAGTTTGTGGGTTCGAGCCCTGCGTCGGGCTCTGTGCTGACAGCCAGCTCAGAGCCTGGAGCCTGTTTCAGAATCTGTATCTCCCTCTCTCTCTGACCCTCCTCTGCTCATGCTGTCTGTCTGTCTGTCTGTCTATCTCTCTCTCTCTCTCTCTCAGAAATAAAACATTTTAAAAAATTAAAAAAGAAAGAAATTGAAAGTATTCTGACATTAACAATAAACAACACCAATAAAATTGCAGATCATACCAAAAGCGGTAATTCATTAAAAGTAAAAGATAAATTCTAAACAAAATCCACAAATAGATTCCTAGATTATTGTTCCTATTAAGTAATGAGTCATATGAGCACACTGGAAAACTGAAAATCTCTTGATTTTTACATGACGGAATACATCAACAAAGGTAACAAACTCATAATATGAGTTAATAAAAACATGTAGATTTCCATAAGGTTTTTCCGTTTCATTAAATTTGTAATTTTTTTGTGATTTCTCATTTTAAATGGGAATTGTTCCCCAATTTCATATTCAAATTTTGTACTTTTCTTAATCAGATGCCACCCCCCCCTCCAAATTTTGTAAGTTCTAGGTCTCACAAAACCTGGATCTATACCCACTCATGTTTCATTACGATCCAGGCTCCAGACTTCCAAGTGGCTGGCACTTACCCCAGGGCACCTAGAATCACATTTTCTTGTCATTCTGGTCTTCTAACTCTTTCACTTTAAGAATAACTCAGCCAGGCGTTCAACAATAATTTTTTTTAACCAGCATGTTGGGGGTTCTTCCCTGGAAGGGAAGAAACAGACTATCTGGTTTTCTACATGCCATAAATCCTGCTTTATTTTTTTCCAATGAACATAGAGTTGCTTTGTCAACCTCCCTCGCCCCAGACTCCATTGAGGTTTCGAGTGTACCATTATAGTCACACGTTAAATGAAAAATTAATGTCTTTAAGAACTGATGGCTTTGTAATACCCAGCCATCCTGTCTAGGAACACGATCTAGTTCTTCATTTATTCATGACTCGATGCTGCTCAGCGGAGTGTTACAGTTGCCACCTCTCCCTGCACTGACCCCTACCGCCCCCTTCTGAAACACAATAGCTACACATTGCTTGTAAAAGCAACTCCTGGACATTTTATCACTCTGGTTGCTATGAGTGGGAGTTTTAAATTATTTTAAGAGAAATGTTAGTATCTGTGCTATGGATTCTGTAAGTCCTGTAAATATCACATATGTGTCTTATAAGTAGCCACCTTACTACTGAGTTCTCTTGGCTTTTCCAGGTAGGCAGTTACGTCATCTGAGAAGAGTGGTGGCTTGCTTTCCCTTCTGCTTTCTGTCCTCCTCCTCTCTCTTCCTAAACCAGCTACACTCTCAGACCAGTGGGATTAGTCCTGATTAAAAATATTATTTTTATTGACTTTAATGTGAATGTCCCTAATGCTTCATTAATAAAGGATTAGCTGTTTAGAAGTTGTTTTTAATTTTTTTTTTAATGTTAGAGAACTGACTCCCTTCTCCTAGCTTTCTGTACATTTACCTAAAAACACTGTTGATCATCAAATCTTGTCAATGACATGATTAGTTGTAGAATGTCTTCCACATGGAGCGTGACTCTGGGCTTGTGGCACATGGTGCCTAGTAAGTGGACAGACTGCGCATGAACAGAGCCTCCTGGGGATCACAGAACCGCCTCCTGCTCTCAGTTGCTGCAGATTCTAAATTCAGACCAGGTGTTGTCACGGGAAACTCCAGAGTCTACCGCAAATGATTGTTAGAGTGGAATTTTGTACAACTAGATCCCATGATTTCGGGATGATTTAAAACATCGTTCCCTTTTTTATGAGGCTCTGTTGTGTTCAGATGCAGCCTCAGGCTCTCCCGCTAACCGAGACATGCTGTCTTCCTGCTTCCCAGTGACGCCGGGGCCCCCTTTGCCCAGTGGAGCACAGAGCGTGTGTGCACATGGCTGGAGGACTTCGGCCTGGGTCAGTACGTGATCTTTGCCAGGCAGTGGGTGACTTCTGGCCACACTTTACTGTCAGCAACCCCTCAGGACATGGAAAAGGTAAGAGCTGAGCCCTGGGAAGGATGTTCCCATTTCTCCTCAAACCAGTGTCTGGGGAGGTGAGGCCCCCATTCTCTATCCCCTGCCCTTACACACACACACACACACACACACACACACACACACAACACACACACAAGGGTGAATCAAAGAGGCTGAGGTTTCCTCTGTCACTGCAGGTTGGTCCCCTGCACTGTGCAGGGGACCCCTGCCACACCACCCAGACGTGACACCCTCTGAGGGGCAAAAGGCCAGCTGGAGTTCCACATCTGTCTTCATCTTTCCATTTCAGGAGTTAGGAATTAAGCAGCCTCTGCACCGGAAGAAGCTGGTTTTAGCAGTGAAAGCCATCAACACCAAGCAGGAGGAGAAGTCCGCACTGCTCGACCACATCTGGGTGACACGTAAGGACAGGCACTATATATAGTAATTTCTGGCAGCTCCTAAGGGGAAAGAAGCATTTCCCTGGGAGTATGTGCCTCACAGACTGTAGTCTGCTTAGGAAAGGCACATAGATTACTAGACCTTGTGGGGAATACAGCTGAACTTCAGGATGATGATTGGTTGTTTTCTGTTTATTTATTTGCATGTACAGTCTCTCATTCTTATGAGCCCTAACACACCCATTTCTTCTGGTTTCTGTAGGCTGGCTTGATGATATCGGCTTACCCCAATACAAAGATCAGTTTCATGAATCCAGAGTTGATGGGCGGATGCTACAATACCTGACTGTGGTGAGGATTTTCCCTTTCAGTGTTTCAGTTCTCCCTGTGAGCACTCAGCTCAGGTATTCCCACAGCAGTTACTTTAAAACTGGTTCCACCCCTTCCCTCACATTCTTGGGGTCTTTAAGTAGTATTCATCACATAAGAAGTCCGACGTAGCAGAGTATGAACACTGTGCTAAGAAAAGCTGGTGCGTCCACATACACCTTCCTGAGATGTGGTAGACTTGTCTGTGTGTGGTCTGGGAAGGAACCTTAAGGATCTTAGTCACTTTGGAAACTTGGATTTATTAACCAAAACATTCCTCTTCCAGAACGATCTCCTCTTCTTAAAAGTTACGAGCCAGCTACATCATCTCAGCATCAAATGTGCCATTCATGTGCTACATGTCAACAAGTTCAACCCCCACTGCCTACACCGGCGGCCAGCTGATGAGGTAAGGGCAGAACAGTACCTATCCTGGTAGCCCTGAGTCAGGACACGTGCAAGATTAGGTGTGAGAAAACAAGAATGACCTCAGCACAACATCATGGCTGCCCTTCGGACCAGGGTGCTTGGGATTCTTTCCTTTGCTAGTGCTTCATGGTGCCCCAAACACCCCTGTTGCCTGTATTTTGTCCCACAACAGACATCAGGCCTCTAAGCTCCCACCGCTCTTGAGGGAGACACATGCTCAGGGCCAGAGGCAATAACAGCAAGTCTTTCAAAGCCATTGCAGTGATCAAAGATGATGTGCAGGTGGAGCAAAGGAGAAGGAGGGAAAAACAAAGTAGACGGATGGGGTCAAAGTAGGCAGAGGAGAGAAGGAGCCAGACATTTCAGAACACGTCCCCCTACTTGTAGATACGAAATTAACTGACCTCCAGTCCTAGGTGCACAAGGGATCCCTGAGCAGGTTTTGCTAGAGAAGAAATCACATAGGTAAACACAGCAACCCTCATTCTGGAGAAGTGCCTGGTAATGTTCTACACACCTCAGAGCTTTTGTCGGGCCCCGTCTCCTGTATTCCTAGGATCTAGTGTAATGCTGCTGTGAGATTAACTCTACTTTCTGAGGGATTAAAAACTCCTCTACTTCTAACTTCCATTTCATTTTTTCCCTATTCAACAAATATGTTTTGAATGCCTTCTGTGTGTGAGGCACAGTGCTGGGCATTCTGAAGACCAAGATGCCACTTAGGTGTAAGTGTCTTAATGTGTGTTCCCCTGAAACATTTGTCCACACCATGGAGATCTTTTGTCGGTAAAACACTTGGCTCATAGCCCTCTTTAAAGTTCTGTGGAAGCATCGAAGGGATGACTCCATGCCTTCATTTACTAGTCCCAGTGTTAACCAGATGATGAGGTTGTCATGGGATTCTGTGTCATCAGCTATCTCTGTGTAGAAGATCTTGCAGGCTTCCATGAGAGCTCACTTCTTGGAAACTGGAAGGGCTCTCAGATGTCTGGGATGGCCACCTGGATCTTTGGGCATGAGGGCTGCCTTCTGGTCAGGCCTCTGGGGCAGGCTGATTTACATGGGCTGGCCCCAGAAAAGACCACAGCTAGGACCTATTAGACCTAATTGTTTCACTCTCCTTCTCCCTCTCACAGAGTAACCTTTCTCCTTCAGAAGTTGTGCAGTGGTCTAACCACAGGGTGATGGAGTGGTTGCGATCTGTGGACCTAGCGGAGTACGCGCCCAACCTTCGTGGGAGTGGAGTCCATGGAGGCCTCATTGTGAGTGGCTCTTCAGCCCATCTGCTTTGGCATAAACTGAGCTATTCAGAAACTTCTTTCTTAATGGCCAGATATAAATCCTAGTAAAAAATATAGTTCATCTGAAGCCCTTGCTTGCATCAACTGAAATCTCAAAATATTTGATAATTTGCAATTGGGAATTAACATGCCTCATGGAAACAAGATGGTTTCTGGAAGAACTTCCATAGCAACAGACCCAGAGGATTCCAGGACGAATGGGTTGCATGTCACACTGCACCTAGAGGAACACAGTGGCTGGGGAAGTGAGAGGCTGGCCACCAAAATGTAACTTCCTGTTTGCCACAATATGATCATGATTGTCCCTCACATCTGTCCTGTGGTAAAGCCAGTGGGGAAATGAAGGGATGGTTTGGATGTCAGAGTGGGAGACCGTCTTATCCCAAAAGTCACAGCTGTCGGCTGACCTGTGAAAATGAGGCTGTCAGTCAACAAATGGGTAGTGAGTACTCAGAGCCAGGCCCTGTGCCAGGTTAACAGAGGGGAGTGGGACACGGGACAAGTGGATGAGCTTCAGGCCCTGCTCTGGAGGCGCCCCTGGGCCCACGGAGGCCTGTTTCTCAGTGTTACCACCTAGAGCCATCGGTAGTCCTCACTGGGTGGCTCTGTCTGTGGTTTCTTCGTAGATCCTGGAGCCCCGCTTCACCGGGGACACCCTGGCTATGCTTCTCAATATTCCACCACAGAAGACGCTCCTCAGACGCCACCTAACCACCAAATTCAATGCCCTGATTGGTCCTGAGGCCGAACAGGAAAAGCGAGAGAAAATGGCCTCCCCAGCCTACACACCACTGACCACCACAGCCAAAGTCCGGGTGAGTTGCCAGACCCTCTCTGAGACGGTCTCAGGGGCCCGCCTTCTAGCGCTCATGTTATACTGAGTTTGACCCGGTGCCTGGAGCCAGGCCGGTGTGTGCTGTCTGGATGAGGAGGCTCTCTCAGTCCGGCCCCAAGAGCTCCGTCTCCTTGTCTGTGTTTGTTAGGCCAGTTCCCTGCCACACTTGGGTCCAAGGAAGAGAGGACAATTTTCTTTGCACAGACACCATGTCCAGGAAGCATCTATTCTCAGGCAGCTAGTGCTTGTCCACTATCCCGATGCAGCCTTGACTCCTCTTGCAAGTAGATGAATCCATGATTCTGAGTTCCCCTCAGTCAGGTACATCTGTGTGCTGTGATGCCCTGGGGGTCTTAGAACTGTCCTGGGGTGCCTGGGTGGCTCTGTCAGTTAAGCATCCAACTCCAGCTCTGGTCATGATCTCATAGTTCATGGGTTTGAGCACCGTATTGGGCTCTCTGCCGTCAGCACAGACCGTGCCTCAGATCCTCTGTCGCCTTCTCTCTCTGCCCCTCACCCCCCCCAAAATAAATCAAAACATTAACAAAGAAGAACAACAGCTGTGATGCCAACACAGAGAGTGCTGCTGTTCACAACCGGCCATGATTGCCTGTGCTGTGGAGGTGGCCAACACAGAGTGGTCCCAGGGGCCCGAGATGATACAAGCACCAGCACCACTCACTGGGGCCTCTGAATCCCACAAACCCTGTTAGAACTGCCTGAGCCACACTGTCCTCAGACTGTGTCCTTCTGAGACCGCAGGCCCCCAGACAGAACTTCCAGAGGCCAGGCTGGTCCCGTCCCCAGCAGCACAGCGATGCCTAGGTTTAGCTACAAGTCATGCATCGACCTCCTTCCCCAAGGGAGCAGGACCAGAAGTGTGTCTGGGGGACACCAGCAGAAATAGTGCTGGGTGAGACGAGAGCAAGCAGGAGGGGCCACCTGGGGCTCTCCAGTGTGGCCTCCCCAGGGCAGAAGGCGCCGCGAGTATCTGATATGGCAGCTGTGTGAGGCAGGTCCTCCACCCCAGCACCCTCTAGAAGCTCCTAGGCACCCCCTCCCACCCCGGGGGCAGAGGGGAAGTAGAACATCACTTGTGGGACAGAGGGGCGTGAGTTCCTCATACACAGTCTTGAAGGAGCAAGATTCTCCTTCCTTGTTCAAGATTACTAATCTGTCGCCTTTCCCTAGCCAGGAGCTCTATTTTGTTAAGGATTTTTCCTAGAAGTAGTTTGCCTCATTCCTCTCCTCATGGGCCTGCTCTTAACTATATTGTGAGTCCTGTCTGCACCCTGACCTGATAATCTTGCATTTGTTGTGTTTTAGCCAAGGAAGCTGGGATTTTCACATTTTGGAAACATAAGAAAAAAGAAATTCGATGAATCGACGGACTACATTTGCCCAATGGAGCCCAGCGACAGCGCTGGTGACAGTCACAGGGTCTACAGTGGCTACCGGAGCCTCAGCCCTCTCGATGCCCCTGAACTGGGTGGGCTGGACCAGGTGGGACAGAGTAGCTGATGGCCTTGTTACCTGTCTTCTCTGTGCACCCAGAGCTTCACAGTAACACTGTGTGTGTCACCATATAACTGCACCGCACCCCCTGCACCTGTGCATGCCTTGCAGAGAACATTCCGGCTATTGTGCACCCCAGACCAGTGTCTCTTTGAACTCGGAGGGTGGCCAGGGTATGGAGTGGCACTTTTGCTAAGGGGCCAGGCTTTGGGGACTGTTGCCAGAGGTGGACTTGGAAGGAAGGACACAAAGATGCTTGTATATTTTTGTAATTCTTCATGGCCATGTTCAGCACCGGTGGAAACACACGAACTTGGACACAGGTCCAGAGGTCATGGACGATCCCCAGAGGCTTGCTCTCAGGCCCCTCCACTGAGCTTCAGCTGAGGGGCAATCTCAAGTGCCTTAGGCCTGTGGCTGCAGAGTCTTGGCCGAGATCCAAGGGACAGCAGCAGGGATTTCTGCCACAGTGATGGTAACTGTGTTGTGCCTTACTACAGAGGTGGTTGCTTCTTTCTGGTAATAAAAACAATATTTATGTAGAAAGCAAACAGTGCCATGTAGCTCTAACCTCACTGGGGGAAGAGAGCTGGGCACAGCTGGAGAGGGAGTCCTGTGTACAGCACGGCCTGGGAGCTGGTGGCACCGTGTGGGTCTTTGGCCAGGTGTCACCTGACACTATGCCAAGTGTCATGGATGAGGGGGCTGGAGCAAGGAGGGACCCTGTATCCTTCAGAGGGGGTCCGTCTGCGGCCTCCTCACTTCAGGCTCCACCCACCTGCCTCTATGAAGCCAAGGGGAACCTTGTGTTCCCTGACCATAGGTCGCATCTGTCGTGCAGACCCCAAAATTGGTTTCTGTTTCAGAGACATGAGCCACCTAGGGGGTAACGGGGGAGACTAGAAAGTGGCCTTGCTGGTACTAGCCTCTTTTCTTTCGTGTGGTTTGTCAGCGTCTCCATTACTGGCCTGGCTGGGCCCATCACCATCGTGGGGGTTGGTCTGTCTGTTGGCAGAAACGGAACAGCCCTGTCCTCCTGATTTAGTCTGGCTAACTGATAATGGCTCTTCCAGATGGGCCTTGTCTGGATGGGGACTGAGGGAGAGACACGTCTTGCCAGTCTGGATTCCTGCTCATGAGATTCCAGTTTGCCCTGGGGCAGGGTTTGGCCCTGCTGGGTCCCCTGAACCTCGTCTGCAGAATAACAGTGGCATCGTGACTGTCTGGTGGCAGGGGCAGGGCTTGATGGCCCTGCAGAGGGCACTCTGCTTCTGTCCCAGATGGAGACATTGCTAAGGTTCGCTTCTTAAACTACCAGCAGCCCCAGAGAAGGCCGATAACCACAGGCCATGACCTCCTGCCCCACACTGCCCCCCCCCCACAGCCCCCTGCCTGCTGAAGTCAGCCAGTGAGAACTGGACAAACTCTCCAGCTGGCACAGCTCGTGCTTGATCCCAGTACCCAGGACACTAAATGACAGGCGCTCCTTAAGGGCCGGTACCTGGGCCTTGCTGTCATAGCCCCAGGGCAGGCTTGGGCGCTTCTTTTTTTTTTTTTTTTTTTTTTTAATTTTAATGTTTTATTTCTGAGAGAGAAACAGAGACAGAGACAGAGGCAGCGTGAGCAGGGGAGGGTTAGAGAGAGAGGGAGACAAAAAATCCAAAGCAGGCTCCAGGCTCTGAGCTGGCTGTCAGCACAGAGCCCAACACGAGGCTCGAACCACAAACTGTGAGATCATGACCTGAGCCAAAGTTGGACGTTTAACCGACTGAGCCACCCAGGCGCCCCAGGCTTGGGCCCTTCTCTCCTGTAGTCTCCTGGTGAGAGACTCTCTCCTTGTGCCTGCTATCAAACCCCATATGGATTGGGTCACTAAATCTCTGTGAGGCCTCAAGCAAGTCCTGTATCCCTTTGTCAGCCTCAATTTTCCCAACTAGAAAATGAGGGGCTGTACTTCCTCACAGGATGCCTCTAAATCTACAATATCTAAATGGGCTTAGGGAAGGAGCAGCCCAGCAGCACCTGAGGAGCCAGGGGTCAAGGGAGGCTCCTGGTAGTGAGCAGCTCCCTGAAAGTGCCCGCCTGTATGTACCTGCCCAGGGTCCTCTCAGCACCAGAAATTGTGGCTGTATTCAGCACCCGGAGGCCTTCATCCCCGCCACTCCCTGCTCCTGGAGCCAGCTGGAGCACCGAGCATGTGTGGAAGGGCTGCTTCTCACAGACCCTCTGTGCTCTGCCCGTGTGCCCACAGTGCTGGTGCCCGCGTGTGCGCATGGCAGTGTGGGAGACTGGAGGCTCCACCCTTCCCAAGGACAGAAATCGCATGTGCTCTGCCCTCCTGTCACTCCCCAGACCTGCCCCCCCACCCCCCAGGAAAGGACTTGCATGCCATGTCTGCGAACCACAAGCTGAGTCCACGTGTGCTGACCAGGCTGCCGCCCGTTTTACAGATGGCGCCTTCGGAAGGCACTGTGACGCAGATAGGGCTCCTCTCCCAAGACATTCACCGTCTCACGGTAGGATTCCCACCCTCTCCCCGCAGCAGGACGGGTGCCGGGGTGGCACCGCGAGTTTGGTGCAGCAGTGCACACGGCCTGAGACCCTACCCCACCCTGAACCTGTGTCATCAGTGCCTGCTAGGGATCTGAAGGATGGGGCTGGGCATGGTGGCCTGAGCTGGGGCCAGCTATGGTGGAAAGCAGTCCAGAAGCCTCCTCCACTGGCCTGCTGCCGGGCCTTGAACCGGCCCTTGAGCAGGGCCTTGAGCTGCTTGGGGCACTGAGACGGGTTCTGGGCCCTGAGCTGAAACCAGCCAAAGTGTGCCAGGTCTCGGTCATCTTCCCAGGCTCAGGAGGAAACAAACCACAGTGCTTGGCAGTTCTGGGCCACCTGCCCAGTCAGCCCGGTGCCCGGGCCTCATCCCAGACCTGTAGGACACTGTTCTGCCCTCTTACCCATGGCACATGTATTTCCTGTCATGCCTGTGACCTCGTGGACATCATGGGCATGTGTACACATGATATGCCTCACAAGGACAAGCTGCATCACAGGGAGGCAGCGTGTGTTGGGGGAGGAGCCACTTTGGAGTGAGGCCAATCTGGTTTAAGGCCCTGCTCTGTCTCTAACTAACTCTGGGACCTCAGGCAAGGCAGTCTCTCTCTGTGCCCCGGCTTAGTTATCTGTAGAGCGGGGCTCACAATGTCCTCCTTGCAAGGCTCCTAGGGAGGCTAGGGCTGGCAGTAAAAGACCAGCCACAGCAAAGATTCACATTTTTGAGGGCCTGTGCCTTCAACTGCCCATTAGTCCCTGGATGGTCCCCTCACTGAACCCATTGGCTGTAGTATCTGTTCACATTAAGGCTCCTGTCACTCCCTCACTTACTGATCTATTGAGGCACATTAAGAAGACTGTATCCAAGGGCAAGATGAAAGTGGAGGGGAGGCAGGGTGGTCTCCCTGAATCCAAATGGGACCATTTTTATTTAACTTTTTTTTTTTTTTGGCTTACATACTGAAATGAATGCACCCAACCTTGCCCTCATCACCACCAATAGGCCTTTAGTGGTCTTGAAATAGCAATTTTACCTCTAAGGTATGAGCAACATATGGTCTTGATAGTGCTGTCTCTTCTGATTCAATGTGTGGGGTCCCTGGAATCCCATGAACTTAGAGGTTGCTAGTGTCAGACAGGACCACTCCAGTGTCCCACTGCTTCCCAGGTAGCTGCCGCAGGGCAGCCTTGGCCAAAACCCTGGTCAACTACCCCTTGGGCCGTGTCCTTTCAGACCATGCTGAGCCAGGACCAGCTGCTGAACGACTCTCGCCCAGCCGCTCCCAACTCTGAGGACTGGAGATGACGTTCTTCATGGCCGAGAGGCCAGAGAGGCATGTGTGGGGACCCCGAGTCTCTGCTTCAAGGGGGTGCTGGCACAGCCGCCCGCAGAGCCCAGACGGGCTGGCAGGACATCTCGGACATGGGTGCTGACAGGAGCGAGCAGAGCGGTGAACAGACGTCCCGGAGGTGGCCCCAGGGGCCTTGTTGTTTCCAACCGTACTGTGCTCTTCACCACAGCTTTCCTACCTTTTATACTTTCATACATGGACTGTACCCCACGTATTGAGGTGGGAGGGCAGTGACACATCAGCACATCAGTACAGACTCGGTGGCTCATGCTCTTCCTGGTGACAGCTGGGAGGTTCTTACGCCAAAGGGAAAGGGCAATGAGTTCATAAAAGCCCTGCTGGAAGAACATTCTGAAAACAGTGTTCTGGCTGTCCAGGAGCGGCTGAGCTGGCTCGAATGACAGGGTCCTTCCTGGGCCGCTTCCACACACAGGGAGTACTTCATCCCCAGGAACGTGGCCGGGGCGTGGGTGTTCAGGGTGAGCGCAGGGAAGCAGGGATGGGGCTCTCTTCCTGCTGCCCTGACTGCCCTCATCCTACCCTCCTCTGCAACAGTTTCTGGTTGTCACCACCAGGCCGCCTCAGGTCTGAGCAAAGACAGCTCCCACACGCGCAGGCAGGCACTGGCACCCTCACCCCAGCTGACCTGACCAGCCGCACAGGCTCCAAAGTGCAGTTGTCTGATCAAATGGCTCCCCCCAGTGGACAGCACTTGCATACCCCAAAGCACCGCTTCCACCACGGCCCGCCATCGTCCCAGAACAGCCTGTTCTCTGGGAGAGGCCCCACGTGCCCCAGCCATACTGTCCCCCCCAACCAGTCTCCCCACTTGGGACAGTCCCACCCTTTTCCTCCCTGTGATGGCTCAGGTCTTCTCTCTCCTGATTTCCAAAGCTGGTCTCCTCCTTGGTCCATCACCTTCCCAGTTGGTCCCTCTACACTACCCCAGAATGGCCTTCCCAAAGCACTGTTTTGATCCTGTTACCTTTCTGCTAAGAAACACTTCAGTTCCAGAAGCCAGAGTAGAGGTCAAGAGCCTTTGCCAGCACCCAAGGCCGTTCAGAAGCCATTCTGTGGCCTGTGCCTTTCCCTCAACGTGGGACCTACTTTTCTCCCGATCCCCTTCACAAGGCCCAGCACGACACTGCTGCTTAGGAAGCCTCCACTGATACATTGGTTAGAGGTCCCTGTGTCCCACTGTGCAGTCTGCCCTTGAGCCTGAGCCCTTCCTGGCTCACCCTGAAGTAGTGTGTCCTTCTCCCTTTCTATAGCCTCTCAGCACAAACTCCCCAAGCAACCTGCTATGCGTGGGCTCTTGTACAACTAGAGTAAGAGCCAGTCCTGGTCCTCAGACTGCTCAGGGGCTCCACGCTGCCACGTTCCCCATCCACCCACCCCTTCATATGTGCAGGTTAAGCATGTTCCATGCCAGGCTAAGAAGGGCTACAGATACAGGCATGGATGTCAAGGTCTAAGGGTGCTGATGATCTAGTAGGGGGTACACATCTGTTTCAAACAGGCGTGTGCTGAAAGTTACAGATGCTCCAGTGGAAGTCTCTACAGCCTGGAAGAACAAGTTGTCATTTTAATGGAAAGCTGGGAGGAGAGGCCTGAAAGGGACTTGGATTTCAGAGATGAACCAGGTTCCCCAAGTGTGCCAGAGGGGAGAGGCACTCCAGGAAGATGGACTTGGACCATGCCAGCACATCCCAGGAAGTGCCCCAAGCTGCTAAGACCAGAGCAGTTTCTCAGCCTCTGCCCTGCCGTCACTTAGGGCTGAATAACGTGTGCTGGGGGCTGGTTTGTGTGTTGTAGGAGTTTCACACCATCCTCTACCCATGTCTGCCCACAGCACCCCTCCTCTGGTGTGACCACCAAAAAGGTCTTCAGACTTTGCCAAATGTTCTGTGGGGGGCAGAACTGCCCCTAGCTGAGAACCACTGGGCTACGGAATGGGGTAAAAGTGGGAGGCCCAGGGAAGGAAGAATCTGGTGAGGTCAGCCGGAGTCAGACCAGGAAAAGCCCTGTGAGCCAGGTCCCAGTGATTTATCTTAGAGACACAGGTGGCCAGGTGGGAACTGGGGAAAGCAGGGGACAAGCATGGGAAGGTGTGTGTTAGAGAAAAGTATCTGCGGGTAGGTTCTTCCTCATCCTATAGTGCCTGGCAGAGTATCTTTCTCCAAGTAGGGGATTCGCTGAGGGTGCACTGAACACATGGATGAGTGAAGGCTCACCGCCCACCACTGCCGCACCCCTATCAGCCCTCTGCAAGACCTTCCCTGTAGGCAGGGTTCAGCTGCACTTCAGTGAGATCTCTAGAGCCGTCTTCCCCTGTCCTCTACCCCTTACACACACACATACACTCTCTCTCTCTCTCTCTCTCTCACACACACACACGCACGCGCACACACACAGTGACACCAAGTTGCAACACCACAATCCGGTTTTTGCAGAAAGGGACTGTCTTGGAATTAAGCACAGCCAGGTCTGAAGCCCAGCTCTGCCACCGCCTGTTGGAATGACCTGGGGGCAAGAACTTCATCTTGGAGCCTCAGTTTTCTCATCTGTAACTTGGAGAATAACTTCCCCCCCACCAAGAATCTCTGGCTTCTTATGAGAACGATGAGAAATAAAGTGCAGAAAGGTTCTACCCACTCAGGTAACAGCAGCACATCAGCCTGGCCAGGAACAGCAGAGGCTGTCGTGGTCACTGTGATCATTTGGGTTTAGCAAAGTGTAGGATTTAAGGAGTAGCCCCTGGAGCCTAGTCCCATTTGCAAACTCAGAAGCTTCTGTACTAACCACCCTGGGGGCCACATCAGAACAGGATGGTAGGAAGACCACGGCCCTGACCTTCCTTTGTTGTACAAAGCTCAGGGAGTCCAGCCTTCCTGGAGTCTGCCTCCCCTGTGGATTTATGACTGCCCTAATACATTTGAACATCATTCCCACTTTGGGAATCTGCCACAAAGGAAAGAATAATCCACGTGGAGGGTACCTGGGCCCTCTCGTACAGAACACCCTGAAGAGGGGTGTTCAAGAGATTGGGAGCTGATGTGACTCCATTGGCTTCTTCTGGAATTCTGCCCCTGCACTTTTGCCAGTCCTGACCTCCTAGGGACAGACATGTAGGGCTGGCCAAGGCCATCTAACTGCCTAGCAGGTGCCCCAAAAGCCCTATTTCATGAGCTGTCTGCTTTGTACTGAAGCTTATTTCACTCACCTATGGGAAAAGCTACGAACTGAGCCTCCCAAGCAAGGCGGGCTCAGAAACCAGTTTGTCTCCCTCCTCTGAACGCTTCGTAGGCCCACACCCAGAAGAGGAGCGATGTGCACAAGGGTGCACTGCAGGCACTTGTGAACATGCACCACTTTAATGTGCTGATGTGGAGCTCACTCTGAAACACAGGAAAGGGACCAGGCAGAGGTGCTAAGAGCAAGGGCGCTATTAGTAAGTGAAAATCATGTCCTTGGTATAACCCAGTTTCTCCAGGTTCGGGTGAGCAGCCGTCTGGATCAGGGGCGGGGGTCCACACACCAGGATGAAGGTGGACTGCCCGGGAGGAGGGAGGTGCTCCTTGATCATGTTAGCGGTGATGTAGCCTGAACTGTACTTCCAGCCTGAGATGAAGCAGAAGTAGAAAAAAGCTGTGGGGGTTCCAGGTGGAGTCCCTGACCCCAAGCTACCTGCCCCCCTCCCTAAAGAGGGAAGCAAGGCTGCTCTCCAAGGCTCAGAAGCCTGCACTGCTGTTCTCTGTAGAGAAGCCACAAAGTTAAGGACGTGGTAGGCTCAGGCAGCCCTCAGATTTATCCACCCCAGATCCCAGGCTCACTGTGGGGACCCTGAGGCCCCCAGCAGGTGTCTGATGCTGCCTGCACTGTCAGGGATGGAGAACACAATAGCAAGGTGTGGTCTGAATCAAGGTCCATGATCTGGGACCTTGCAGGCTGGGGTTTGTGGCTCAGTTGGGGGACACCCTCTGCTGGGCAGTGAGCTATATGACAAGGCAGGTGCAGCTCAGTGCCACAAGAGAGTGACAGCCATGGACGGTGCGCTGCACGTGGTGGTGGCCATGTGCTGGCTAGGGTTGCAGCAGCTGGCTGGGGCTCAGCATGTGATGACTGCTATCCAGGAGAGTCTGGGTGGTAAGGGAGGAGGGATCAATGGCCATATTAGATGCAGTGTGTATGATATCTCTGTGGGATGCTGTGCCGAGTGTAACATGGACTGGGCGTTCAGACTGACCCAGTGACTCAGTGTCCCTCTGTGTCCCTCCTGAGGTTCAGCACATGTATGGAGTGCTGCTGAGATATCAGACACGTGCCCTTGACTGCTCTCACAAGCAGGTCATCCCAAGTCCTCTCTCCCTCACATTCCTCCATTTCCCATGTGGAGACAGAGCTGACAGTCTCAGCCCCCAAGCACAGTCCCAAAAACCAAACAAACCCAGGGCCTAGTTCCTGAGGCGGGTCAAGGGTTGGAGCTACCCCACAGTGGGGACAAGGGGGATCGTACCAACAGGAGGCCTGTCCAGGGTGTACCACAGGCTGAACTGTTCCGGGTGAGTTCTGGCAACTTCTTCAAGCTCCTTTCTCACCAAGATATCCTCCTCTGCCTAGAAAAGAAGCAACATGAGCAAAGCCCCTCCAGGGACATCCTGCTTGTCCCTGGGTCAGCACACATGTACCCAAGCTGCCCCTGCTCTAGTTGAGTGCTGTCACCGTGACTCCTGGAGCAAAGGAAGGTTCTGCTGCACTTCCTGTACTACCAGCCCTCTCATGGGTGGAGGAGGTAGGCTGTGCCCCAGAGGCGGGCACTGCCCTCAGCTGGAAGGACACGGCTGAGCACGGACAGGGGCCTCACTCTGATGGTCCAGCCCTCCGCCCCCATCCACACGGAGCACCAGGCTAACCTGCTGGGCTGGACAGAGCTTGGGGTGGGCCCAGGACCTCTTGCAGGGAGTGCAAGGGGCAAAGGCCGTACTGTAGAAGACCGCACCTAACACAACAGCACTGGGGAGCTACGGGAGAGGAAGGCAAAGGCTGGAGCTTCATCTGGGGAAAGGGAGCCAAAGCCACAAGAAACCTGGCCCAGGCTCAGAGGTACCACACAGAGGACCTGGATCTTAAAACTCTTTGCGATTCTTGCACCAGCAATCCTACTTCGGGGATTCTGTTTAAGAATATAATCTAAAAGGCATCAAGCGTAGGCAATATTGCATCCTTTACAACTGGGAAAATTGAAAACAGTCTGGATGCCGAAGATGTAGTAAATTACGGTGCAACTTGATACAGACTGATGAAAATATATCTAAAGAGTTTTGATGAGAAGGAAGTGCCTATGTGGTAATGTTGAGTGAAAACACAAAGCAACATATATATGTGTGTGTGTGTATGTAATTGCAAATATATGGCTTGTACAGAAAGGAGAAAAGTCAAATATTTATACATTTTTGTATTTTCTGAAATTTCAACTGAGGCTATCTATGACTTTATACTCAGAAAACCAGAATTACATATTAAGAAAGGAAGGAAAGCTTCATACTTATGGTGGCTGTGGGGACACACAGTTAAAGAAACAAAACAAAAACAAAAACAATAAAATGGAAATCCAGGCCCTCCCCCAAGGCTGCAGGCACCAGAGCAGGGAGACAGCTCAGTCGGGGGAGGCATGAAGGCAGAGGCCCTGCTCAGCAAACATCCCATCCCACCCCTGCGAGCTCAGGGCTGACTCGGCAGAACTGACCTGGTTGGCAAAGATGAGGGACATCCTGGTCCTGTCGTTGGGGTTCTTGATGATGTGGCGAATGAGCTGCAGCATGGGCGTAATCCCTGGAATGGCAACAGGCGGGACACGGCTAGCTGCTCGCTCTCCCTCTCTGGTGCCTACAGTCCCTGGTCTGTTAATGGTCTTCCTTAGCTGCAGGCCTACTTTTCTCATGTCTGCCCCCAAAATTCAAAGTGGAAAACCGCCCCCCCTTTTGGTTTCCCCCTCCAATGCAGCAATAAGTCGAAAGGCCCTTTCTTGCTTTCCTGTGGCAAGATGGAAGGAGACTGGCTCGGAACTGAAGGTGGGCTGCACGCCCAGCTCCCTCACTTGCTGTCTGACCACGGTGAGTCAAGTGCCCGGCTGCGTGTCCCCATTTGTAAAACAGAATTAATGACAAGTAAATGTGTTCATTTTACGAGTGCCCATTATGGTGCCTGGCATATTGTAGGTGTTCCTACACATTTGTTCTATTCTTTCAGGCACTCATTTTCAAGGGATGGGGGAGCATCAGGCTTGACCTGGACCCAGGAGCCCCTGGGGGACCATGTGTGGGCCTACTCAAACTCGGTCCCCAGACCCTTCTATGGTCCCCTGCCTGACTTCCTGGGGCAGCCACCACATTGGGGAAGGGGAGCAGCGAATGCAAGGTTGGTTTCCAGGCCTATCATCAACCCTACACTCGCATATAAAACAACTAGGGGAGGGTCTCCCATGCCACCCCTTCCAGCATCAAATGAGTCCAAAGTTAAAAAGCTCTCGGGACCCACGCTGTGGATGAAGCCCCAGAAGCCCCCTACCTGTGCCCCCAGCAATCATTCCCAGGTGACCAACTACTGTTTCCTCAGGCTCACTGGTTTTGGATGGTTTGATTGAAAGCTGCCCTGGAAACACAGAGGATACTTTTGAATTCTGCGGCTCTTGCCTGAGAGCTTGCCAAAGATCCCAGACTCTCTCTGGGACTCCCCGGAGGAAAGTCCACCTGAGGAAGTGGCTACACCATTCTGAACCGGAGAAGCCAGTCAGGGTGGCCCATTCCACCAGTCCCGGTGCCCTAGTGCACAAGGTGGAAACAGAGGCTGGGCCTCCTTCAGGACTCGCTGGACCTTTTCTTCTGAGGAGGGAGGGGGGCACGCTCAGCCACAGCAGGGAAAGAGTGAGTCGGTGGTGAACATATGAGTAAGTGAATGAGTGTGGATGCCATCCATCCATCCATCCGTTCTGCACAGCAGGCACCTCGTGTATCAGGCATTGTGCTGGACAGACAGTGGTGAGGAAACACGCCAGCACTCCCTACCGTAATGAAGCTTACATCTCATCAAGTGTGAGTGTCGAATGAATGTATGAAGACTTCAAGGACAAGTCCACGTGACCCAAACCTGAGACGTTTTCTAACACAACCACAGGAATTGATTTCCTCCTGGCGGGAAGCCTAGTGTAACCCCTCCCCTCACCCCCTCACCCCCACCCCGGTACCTGGCTCATGGTAGAACAGGTGACCTGTGGGCCCTCGAAAAAGGATGGTGTCCCCAATTTTCATGTTCTCCAAGTACTGGGTCATCTTCCCCCCTTCTGGATAATTGGGATGTACATTTTTGAAGTAGATCTAAAAAGTAAAGCAGCCTGGTTCTCACACTCTCAGACCTGAGGCCATGGCTGCAGACAACTCAAAATTCCATTTGCCCCAGGAAACCTTGCAGAGAAAATCCTCTGTGCTCACAGTTGCTCTCAGCACCCCTTACGACTTTGCCAAACCAACAGCTACACTGTTCAATGACGGTGCCGGAAGGTCTTTCCCAGGACACGAGGCCCCCTCCACCCAACCACCTTCAATAGGCCTGTAAGGGTGAGGCAGCCGGACACAGCAGGCACCATTTACCTTAATAATCAGATCCACAAAGCCTTGGTCATCATCACTGGACACAGGCGTGTAAGCCCTGACCACCAGAACACCATCAATTCTGGCCAAGAGATGGACATAGTTACCTGCAGAAAAAGCATCCGGTGTTAAATCTGAGCACAGCTGGCCTAAACAGGACCCAGGAGTCCCGCACAGGACTTAGCTTCAGGGAAGTGGGTGCATGTGTCAAGGTGCATGGGGCAGGGCCACGCAGACAAGGAGCCCAGATCCAGGATGCCTGGGTCCCAGGCCTGACCTCGTCACTCTACATGCTGCCCTGGGCAAGTCATGTCACCTCTCTGGGTGAGTGGGGGGTGATTCACCTGCCCTGCCACCATCCCAGGGGTGTGAGCTTCACATGAGTGCACGCTCACTGTCATCAAAGTACTCTCTGGAACAGGAAGAGCTCATTAAAGTTGGAGGCTGAGTATTAAAAATAACAGAAAGGAGTGCTTCCCCTTTAAAGCAAAATATGTTGCCTTCACAAAGTCATTCCTTCTCAGCCTGAGTGGATCAGTGGGGTCTGTGAATGAATCACGAGCCCCTCATCTGTCTCCTGCTGCTCGAGCTGCACTAGGCTCACAGGCAAGCTGGGCCCCAGGATTTGGATACTGCAGACCAGGAGTTCTAGAAAGGGTGTTCTGTCTTTCTGGCCAATGGCTCTGCTCGAGGGGCAGCAAGAGCAAGAGCAGTAAAGTTTCGAGCCATGGAATTCTGCCCCTCCTGGGTCGAACCGAATGGACCAGGTATGGCCAGAGACCTACAGATGGTGGCTACAGCCCGGTGTCACATAGTAGGTGTGGCCACTCAGATTGCTGAGGGATCTAAAGTGGGAGCTTTGGTGACTAAGACAAGCAGTGACGAGGGCAGGAGCTACCATCAACAGATGCTAAGTGACAGAGGCCAGACAAAGCTTTGTGCCATCTGAGGGAGTAGAAACTATTCACGGAAAAGATGGAGCGGATGTGCAGACAAAACCAGAGACCTGGGGAGACACAGAAAGGAGGAGGAGGAAGAGGAGGAGGAGCTGCAGCAGCAGAAGAGGAAGCCCTAAAAGTCCTCAGGGTCTGTGAGGAGGCCCGGAAGCCTGAGGTGCAAACAATCGGGGTTAAGAAAGGACAGGCGCTATACCAGAATTCAAGTGAAGGGAAGAGGAAGGGAAGAGAAAGAAAGGGAAGGAAGAAAAGACAGGTTCAGTGACTCTGGCTGAGGCCTGGCTAGGCATCAGGGATGCGCAGAAATAAATGCCTGAGGCAGTTTCCTTTCAAGAACACATGTGAACCTGGAGTCCTCAGAAAGTCTCTCTCCAATGTAGCCATTCTGGGCCTGGCCTGCCGTGTCTGTGCTGCCTGGCTCGCCCCATGTCTAACCTGCTGTATTTCCTCTGACATGGAAAGCATCCGTGATCACTGAGTCCTCATAGCAGACTCTCCCAGAAGCCTCTAAACTACCTGTCACACTAACTTTGCACCACCTGCACCAGGGCACAGGAGAGGGTGGGTCATGGCAGGTTCTAAGAAATTTCTATTTCTCTAAGTTTTTCATTCTTTTAGCCTTCTTGCCAATAGGATTGACTCCACAGACCAGGCAGAGGGCTGGAAGGCAGGCGGACACTGAGCTCTTGTGGATGGAGACAGAGAGGAATCAGCGAGGAGGCTCAGGCCAGGCTGACTGCCTGGCGAGTCATTTCATCAGCTGACAGAGGAGAGGGCAGGGTTTAGTCCCACATGCACAGGACAAGGAGGTCATGGATTAGGATCTCCACCAGGCTGGCAAGGAGCACTTAGCGATTTGTACAAAGCTCTGAATCCCCAAGCTGTGGTCGTAGCCAAGGATTTCTACCTCACCAACACGGAATTGGGTGCCTGGTGGTGTTACAGACAAGAAAGGGGACACCTCGGAACTCTAGGACCGCTAGGGCTGGTATTCACAATGGGTCCCTCCTTGTGTGGACCTGAGGCCCCTGCTGAAAAGCCACACTGTGTGGGGAAGACACACCTAACTCCACCTCTAACTCTGTCCTCTCCACACATTCTGGGCCTTTCTCCTGACTGCAGGGAAACATCACTTCCTTCCACCCCTCACATGTACATGGCACTTGGCACATTCTGAATTTTCTCATCTATCAGTCACTTTACCTTACCAACCCAAGTGGTGGGCAGGCCCGGGAAACCCCATTTCAGAGACTGAGGCTCAGAGAGGTTGAAGGACTTGCCCAAGGTTGCCCAGCAAGGAGCCTGTGATGATATCCCAGACCTCCTGATTCTAGATTCACTTCTTTTCAGTGCTCACTGAGACATCACTTCTGTGTCAGCCCAAATCAGACACTGAGAAGAGAAATGGACTGTCCCCAGGCCTACCTCTCTACCTCTCTTGAGCTCATCTGTCTTAGAAAAGATAACAGGGCGGCCGCTACCCCCCAGCTGAGTTTCTGAGAGGAGCAGAGCCTGCAAGGCCCAGTCCTGGTGATGATACCAAACCCCACTCACCTACAGGAAGCCCCAAGACATGGTCTGGTGAGGGCAGTCCAAAGCGGAACCTCCGGGTGTTGTGGCTGATTTGCTATAAAACAGAAAACAGAGGCAGACTGTCAGCTTTCTAGAAGCCTTTCTGGGCAAGTCAGGTGCCTAAGAAAAGAGTTCTATTTGGGACCATCCCAGCACACATAGACGTGGGCGCGCGCGTGCACGCGCGCACACACACACACACACACACACACAGGCAGTGGGGAGCAAACTGGAGGCCCTGAAACAAACGCCTGTCCCCCTGCCCTGCCTCCTCAGCCAGCACATCCCCTACCACTCTGGTCCTCTTCTCTTTCACAGGCTGACAGCAGAAGGGGTGGGCTGACTCCATTACCTCTTTCTCAATCAAAGGTAGCGGGTACTTGGTTTCAGAGTCCTGTAAGGTGATAGGTCTCTTCCCTGAGTTCATGTTTCTCAGGGCCACTGTGACTCCAAGGACAGTGATGATGAAGAGCAGGGACGGGTCCTAGCCAGACACAGTGTGAGCTGGGCACCTCAGGTCCTGCAGGAACCAGGGAAGGACAGTGCTCAGGCACAGCAGCACCCTCCCCACACCAAAGGCACAGAAGAGGCTGGGCTGTTCCCAAAAGAACAGACAGAGGCAAAGGTAATAAAACAATGGGGGCTGAGCCTATGGTGGACCCGGAGGGTAGGGAGGGGTCAGCTGCGGATCAGACCACGCCAGGCAGATGGCCGATGGCCAGGGAGTGCTAATGTCACCAGGCTGGCCCTTTCTGCCCATCTGCCTCCAGCCTGGCTACATCCAAGGGTGCAAGTCCTGGGAGTCCCCTCCTGGAGGTGATGACCCTTCTTCTAACCCACAATCTAGAACTTGGTCCCAGCCCCCAAAGAACTAGAGGTGGATAGGCCTGAGTCCTCCAGCAGTGGCTGCGTCTAGGCTGGGTTGGGGCTCACTTCGCCCGCTACTGCCCCATCCAGGAGAGGTTGGGGGGGGTGAGTACCTTCGATTTAGGGGTGCTCTATTACCTTAGCGCCTGAGACACACCAGCACCCTCCAAGGCAGGCGAAGGAGGCCTAGACTCTCACCAGCAGCCACTTGGGCCGGCTCTCGATCCCGCCGCCCTCACTGTCGCCCGACCGCAGCCAGCCGCCTAGGGACCCGGGAAGGGCCGCGGGGCTCCCTCTCACACCCTACGCCTCGCTCCCGGCCGCACCACGCCTGCCCCGGCGCCGCTCCGGCCCGCCCCGCTCCCCGCCCCCCGCCCCGCGCGGCGCCGCCCAGCCCACGCCCTCGCCCGCCACGCCCGCCTGGGGCCCCGTCCGACTCCCGCGGCCTCGCCCCGCCGCGCCGCCGCGCCCTGGGCGCCCACCCGGAACCAGACGCCGAACGTGTCGTCGAAGCGAGGCTGGCTGCGAGGCCGAGGCAAGTCGGGCGCCCGCAGCTCCGCCTGGCGGACCCGGAAGCCTCAAAGCCCCCGCGGCCGAAGCGGGGAGAGGGACTAGGCCGACAGCACGCGCCGGCAGATCACGCTCACCGCCCCCTCGCCCAACCCCCGCACCCGTCCCCGCAAGCCCACCCCGTGGGGCCCCCAGTGTACCCCCCGGCACCCCACGCGCTCCCCGTAGACCCCCCCCCGCGTAGCCCCCCGCACCCGCCACCACTCACCTCCCCGCGCGCCCTCTCAGTGGAGCTCCCCCCGCGTACCCCCACCGCTCGCCTCCCCGTGGGTCCCCCGCGTACCAAACTCCCCTCTGATCCCCCCACCGCTCACACACCCCGGCCCCCGGGGCCAGCAGAGTTCCGTGTCGCGCTCTGCCCCGCCCTGCCCGTGGGGCCGCGTGTGACCAGAGGCTGCCACTGCTGCGGGGTCCCTGTTCCCAGAGACCATCCCGTGTTTATTCGTGGCCCCCTCTCCATCCTGCCCTTCTCCCTGCACCCTCTGAGCAGCGCGGACGGAGAACTTCTGCGCCTTGCGGAAACTGCCAAGACTGGAGGAAAGCAGGGGCGACTGAGTGGTAGGTAGGAAGGGGATGCTGATAAAAGAAATGGGAATTCAGGCCAATTCAGAGAGCACACGAGTATATCCGTTTGACGCGCATAAAGAGCTCCTACTCTGAGCCTGGTCCAGTGCTGGGTGTTTGCCGGGGTGGAGATGTAATGGAGTTAAGGCATTCGTTCAAAACGCTCATTCATTCATTATCTCTTGGGAGAGAGACAGATGACAGGTACCCAACACCAGACCAATAGGAGGCAGAATGGCAGGCATAGGTTATGGGGGTTCTCTGCAGCACATTTCAGAACCTCAGTAACCCCTCTCCTCCTGGACCTGAAGGGAGACAGAGAAGCTGAGAAAATAGATTCCCACCCCAACCCCAGCCCCCAAACACACACCAGCACAGGCACATACATGGTGGACACTTCTAACATCTGCAGGTACTAGGATGTTACTGCAAGATATCTTAATTACTGACAATCTACTAAATGTAAAATGATGACTTGTGAACCAAATACCATAGCTGAGAGAGTTGAACATTCTTCATGTGTTTATTTCCCATGGCAGTTCTTTTACTGAAAAAAAAAGCCTACTCCTGACTTATGCCCATTTTTTGCGTGAGTTTTTTCTTACTAATTTTTAGGAATCTTTTATATGTATTTTAGAGACCACTTCTTTGCCAGTTATATCAGTTACAAATATTTTCTCCTGGTGTACAACTTTCTCTTCTTTCTCTTTTCTTTTGTATTCTTTTTTTTTCTCCTGTCTCCCTCCTCTTTTTCTTCTCTCTCCATCTTTTGATGAATAGAAGTTTGTAATTGCAACGCAGTCCAATGTATCAATCTTTTGCCTTTATGGCTAATGCTTTGTATGACTTGTCTGTTCCTACCCAAGATCGTAAAGATAGTCTCTCTTTTCTCTGACAGACTTAAAGTGTTTCCTTTCACATTTAAGTCTCACAACCACCTGGAAATGGTTTCTGGATATGATGTGAAACAGGGATCCAATTTAATTTTTTCCATATGGATAATATGTTGGCTTAGTACTATTTATTGAATTGCTCATACCTGGTCACTAACCCACAATCAGTTTTCCCTTTGATCTCATTGCCCAACCCCTCTGCCAATCCCATACTGCTCTAATTACAATAGTTTATAACAACTTTTTATATCTTTCACTTAGACTTTCATTGGGTCTCAGTTCAAATATCACATCTTTGAGATGCCTGATCCAATCCCCCAATTTAAGTACATGTACAGATTACATTCTATTCATGGCTTTTACTTCAGTTCATAATAAACATGCTGAATAGTTAATTGTAAATGACTGACTCTCACATTCGTGGAGAAGTTCCATTATGACAGAGACCTTGTTTCTCCAGGACTGAGCACAGTGACCGTCACGTGGATGAATATATATAGCAAATGAATGGATGGATTCCTCTCTGCCCTGCAACATGTAGCACGCTGCCTGGCACATGGTAGTGAGCTCCATAATGCTTAAGAGAACATTCCTTCCCATCAGTGCCCCTTTTTTGCTTACTTTGTCTTCATAAGACGTGTCATCAGATGACATACCACATACCTACTTGATTACTCTTTCTCTCCCTCTACTACAAAGTAAACTCCATGAGGACAGGACTTGCTCTGTTGTAATTCCTGCTGTTTCCCAGGCCTCAGAACAGTGCCTGGCAATTGGTAGGTGTTCAATAAATTTGTATTGGATGGATGGATGGATGGATGGATGGATGGATGGATGGATGGATAGATGGATGGATGAACGTAATGTTCTCCCTCTGATTCAATCAAACCTTTATTATTATTATTTTGGCTTTGGAATCATTTTTTCTGTGCCTCTCTTAGTAGTTGCCTCTACCCTCCATTCTCCCTTCTCATTTTCCCTCCATGTTACTAGAGAGGCAGCATCACATCCCCCTTTGTTAATCTTGGAGCAGGATAAAGGCAGGCATTTGTCTGGACTCCCGGTAACTCTGAGAAGGCAATGCTTCCCCTCTCTCAGCAGTCCTGTGCGCTGTAGATGCACCCATTGCCTGCTCACACTCTGCCTGGTTTGACTCCTCTTTTACTACTCTCCCGAAACAGACTGTGAGCACATGTCTCACTCTCTAAATCCACAGCGTGATCATAGGGCCTGACAATGAATAGGGGCTCACAAAGTGCCGATAAAAGAAAGAATGAACATCTGTCACTATTTTAGCCTGTATGAGGCTCTGCCTCTACAAGACAGCTTCTCCGGTGAGGGGACCAGCCACCTCCACTGCTGAGATTCCCTGGGGGGACTGATGCTGTGGCCAAGTTAAAGCTTGAGGAGCCTCTGCTCTCTACACAATTTCCAGGCTGCCACGGGCTTTTTAACCTTGAAAATGATTTATTTCCATTTTACTCCTGAACGGATGACCACTTCTGAGGTCTTACCGGTTAAGCCTAAATTGTGGTATGTTGAACAATGAACTTCTCCAAATAGACCCACATCCTAAATCCTGGAACCTGTGAACGCTGCCTTATGTGGCGAAAGCAGCTTGGTAACTGTGGTTAACTTAAAGATCTTAAGATCTTAAGATCTCTCAAGGGAGACTATCCTGGATGGTCCCCAAGTGATCACACTGTTCCTTATAAGACAGAAGCAGGAGGAGAGAGAGAAGAAGGCAGTGTGACCCCAGAAGCAGCAGTTGAAGTGACCAGTGTTGAAGATGGAGGGAGGGTCCACAGACCAAGGAACGCAAGCAGGCACTGGAATCAGAAAAAGGCAAGGGAAGGGATTTCCTATGAGAGCCTTTGGAAGTGACCAGCCCTGCTGATACCTTGACTTTAGCCCAGTGAAACAGATTTTATACTTCTGGCTTCTAGAACTGTAAGAGAATACATTTGTGCTGTTCAAAGACAGCAAAGTTGTGACAATTCATTGTAGCAGCAATGGGAAACTATACCCTAAATGAACCATTGTTTTGTCTCATAGGGCTTGTTTGTTTATACTTGGCTTTATTCCAGAAATATATTTCCTGTGATTTGGATCAGAAAAGCCAGGAAGTGCTCCTCCCCTCTGGCGCTGATGCTCTTATTGCTCTAACTGTGCGACTCTTTTCTCCCGTGGACCACCTCCCTCAGCAAGCCTCCTGCTGCTACCCACATCTTCAGCTGGTTTTCTCTGCCAGACCGTATGAGCGGCCCACCCACTCCATCCCTTCCTCCTCACCCTGGCTCTGGCCTGGCCTTTGTGCATTGTACAAAAATGCCATCCTGAACAAAGACAAATCTAGTTGACTGGGGTGAGCTTTATGAGAGAACACTGATGGAGCACCTCACCCATCCCAGGCACCCAACACCATGACTAATGTAAAACATTGTTTGAATTGGAGTTTCCTTGGTTTTCCTGTTCAAGGATTTTAAACTAAAGTGTATCCGTACCACTTGATCAGAATTCCCCACGGTGCAGAATTAGGATTCTGCACCTAGCAGATGGGCAGAGAACGATAGCAATGTTTTGCTTTCTGGATCATGAACATTTTGCTTTTTGGACCATCTTCAGCCTTGACTTGTAGAACAGAAGAAATGTGGCATGGAAAACCTTGCATGCACCTGGCGACCTGGGGCTGATATGGGCCTGATGGAGTAAGACGGTATAAAAGTAAGAGTGTGGAGACACTGGCAATGAACAGAATTTGCCAGACACAGTGTGTTTGGGAAGAGGCAAAAGAATAGCCTGCGGAGTGCAGTGCCCTTTGTCCTGCCCACACGCGGGGGTGAGGAGGTGGCCCTCCTGAGCAGCTACATCTGCAGAGCTACCCCAGCAATGCTAGTCAAGTCCCTTTCCAGTGTTTATAGCAATTGCTTCAACTCTTCCCCAACAGCATCTGTTCTGGTGGGGGCTGGACTAGAGCCTCCCGACGGTAGCAATTTGTGAGTTCACAGCTTGGACTGTGGGGATAACAGGGAGTAAATGGGGCAGCAAATGCAGTTTTCAAGGCACAGGTCCGCCAGCACAGATGGGTGGGTCTGGGAGCCTCAGACTTATAATTGGAGAAAGGCTAGCCTTTAGGAAGGGGGGAAGAGAAAGTGTCCAAAAGAAAGAAATGAGGGGAAGCATACCCTTCTTCTGCTTGAACACAACCAGGACTTAGGTGGCTCACTAACTTCCAGAGACACACAGGGTCTGCTATGTGCAGATACTGGGTGAGCTGCATTGCTACCCAGGGCATTG